ACGCTGCAACTCCACAGCTCTGCTAGCCTTGGCGCTAACTTCCGGGGAACGATTGAGAGGCTCCACGATCCGCCATTGCTGTAAAAAAGTGGTCCATTGGAGTGAACGGAGATGTCATAACTCTTCTATTATATGGCTCTGGGTATGTCTCGTCTGAAAGGAGTGCTGACAGAGAGCACCGGAACGCCGCTCCAGCCCTTCACATATTGCAGTACCCATAAGGAGCCGTATATGCCACAGTGTTTACGTGGCTGTGTCTTTAGTTGTAAGCACAGTGGCGATCTGTTGTTATTAGCATCTGGTTAGCTAGCTATGCTAACGAATTTAAAGAGCTTTTTTACAACCAGGTGGAAGAGAGCTCTCTCCTGAGAGGCTCAAATAACCTCAGCTCAGTGAGGTTAAGGCACACCTTGATATGATCATTATAGTTATTAATGAGACTAAATGAAAAACAGGTATAAAATACTATATGACAGTAACAAAAAAGTTGTTAAAAATAACAAGAATAGAGTTCAAAAGGGGAGTGATTTGTAAAATATCCAAAAAGAAAAATCTGCTTACAGTTCTGTTTCATATGGGTGTTGAAAGATGTATCCATAGATCTCTTCACGTTGCTCTCAAAGTGCACCAGATTGATGCTTTTAACTTCAATATTTAATATCCCCGGACCCCCCTAGAGGAGGTTAGGTCCCCCCCCCCCCCCCCCCCACTTAAATGATGTTCACATGGATAGCATACTAAATACATTTGCACACATCTTGTGTCCATATCTTTCTGTTTTGGTGGTCATGCCACACCGTGCACATGCATGCATACGTGAGTCATGGTGAGATATCTGGATTAAGAGATTGCTTTTTCTTTGCACAGAATGAAAGAAAGGCGAAATGAATGGGCTGTGATTTTAGTTTTTTTAAGCAAAGGTTGAGTTCAATAATTTGTACGACCCTCGGAGGATGTTGTACAAATTGAAAGGAAAAAAGGTCCCCACCCCTGCTGTAAATAATAATAAAAACCCTTGATTTATAACTTAACATCTCTGTCTCCTATTGATCTGAGTATATTATAAAGAATAGTTAATTGAAGCATTATAGCACAGGCCTTTGTCAGATGGTTTATTACGCTGTTTTTTTCTGCTTCGAATAGTTCTCTCTTTTTCCTGCATGTGTATGAGAACGGCCCTGACTCCATGTCAGCCCAGATTTACAAACTCCTGGCAGGACAAGCTCCAGCTCAATTCTCGCACTGAATTTTAAAAAAGTGAGAGAGGGACTGCAATATAAGAGGGAAATAAAGAGAAACTTTAAAATAGTTCAATTGTTATGATGTGTAAAGACTGATATTGTTCTACAATCGGCTGAAACTGTTAAGTCATGAAGTGAAATGGTTAACAAAGAAAAAGGGACACTCAAGCTGCTGCTACACTTTATTTTATTTATCTAAAATTAAGCACTTTTAAGATGCACACATTTTCAAAAGCTATTTTATTTATTTTCTCTATTTTATTTGTAAATGCAGCCCGAGAGGAACATTACACATAGCCACAGTATTTTTACTGTATATCTGTATAGTTCAATGTTAATTGACAATAAATATTGTTGTTTTTGAATTGTACTTTCTTTATTTGATTGGCAGTCAGTTGTTGATTACATGCAGACGTTGATAAAGCTACGGCTACTTCAATATATATCACACTAATTCATAAAGCAAGTTAGGCATTTTGATGTTCCGGACCTTTGCATGGGGACATTTTCTCTAACTGGACCTCGTTGAATTTTAGTTGAATACCCCTGGCGTATAGATATATCATATTATAGGCACTATTTTACACTCGATGTCTCCAAGACCTACCGAAGGTTAACATCAGTTATGTACATCGGCTGGTACAAGCGGCAGGCTCAGCCCCAAGGAGCAAAAGAGGTTCAAGACAATTATGAAGATAAGTGACAAACAAAGCTGTAGTTACTGGCTAACTTTGACAACTTGACAGTCTTGATACAGTGTAAAGCGTTTTAATGATGTACTATTACGTGTTTTGGATAACATGAATGATATCCAATTCCCCACAGTTTCAAACAAAAATCTACCTTCAGGGAGAGTGAGCATCAGGGCGAGCTATTAGTATACTATATAGATATATCTTTCTAGTTTTGATATGTATATATGTGTTTGTATTTATTTTTTACCATGTAATGCCTTCATAACACGCTGCTGCTGGCTCTGTAAACAAGATGGCGTCTATCAACTTCCGGCGGCTGGGTGTGAGGCCGAGTACTTCCGGTTTGAGTAGAGTTTTGACAGCTTGACAGTTTGTTATGACACACCGAGAGCAAGAATGAGCGGATTTCGGGGTAAAGAAAAGCGATTGGCCTTCCAGCGTGTAAGAAAGTCGGCACTACATTGCTGTGTGCCCCTTTGGACAAATTCGTCCCGTTATCAGAATCAGAATACCTTTAGTCCCACAGAGGAGACATTTGCAGCGTTACAGCAGGAAAGAGCCACTTAGTGTTGAATATCTTACATGCGTTAAAAAAGTACTAAGTTATAATATAATAAACAATATGCTAAAAAAGTACTAAGTTATAATATAAACAATATGTTAAAAAATAAAAAAAATAAAGTTACATAATTTTTAAAAATACAGATTTTTTATCTGTATTTTTAAAAATTATGTAACTTTTTATTTTATTTTTTTTATTACAAATCAAATCTACAAATCAAATCATGTAGCTGCAGTTCTTAGGATTTAGCAGCCCGGTATATATTACAGTTATTAAAGATGGCATATGTATATAAAGTATATATTGCACATAGTTTGACGGTATTTAACAGCAGCAAGTTACACAATGTTATAATCGGGAGATACATTTCCATTCATTTCGGCAAGCCTGGGCAACAACGATTAAAAGATGTCTTGCTCCCAAACCAATTGTGTATTTCATTACAAAAAGCAGTTATACCATACTATGTTTAGGTACTAATGAATTATATCCTCAAAACAAACGCACACATAAATAACAAAGGAAAATACATAATTTAATAAATCCACAATATAATAACATTTTACAGATTAATTTAATACAATTTTAAAAAACATAGGTTGATGTTATATCGGGGGGAAAAATACATATTTAAACATTTCAATTAGTCTGCATATTTAAGTAATTCTAGTTTATATAACAGATGAACAGATGTACAATATCCAGAAATATATATATAATGTGTGCATTTCCAACATATCCTCTGAAAGAGTGTTAGTCGTTGAGTTGAGTAGTGAGCCATTAGTTTTTCGTGGTGCGATGTCTGCTGAGAAGTCCTTGTATGCCTCGCTGACTTTGAGGACATCTGGGTCTGGCAGCTCCCCCCGCACGGCCTTGTAACGTGTACTCCTTTGAACATGTTTATATGATAATTAGGACTTTAAGAACAATGTTACACTCAGACAACAATCACAAAGTTGTAGCAGGCTACATACAATTACTTAGGTAGATATTACCTTACACCGTCAGCAACTGTAAACTGCTTTGGCTTAGTGGAAGTGAACACCATGTCACTCACTCTGCCTGGTTTCACACCCTATTAATTACACAAAATAATTGTCAAATTAATTGAAAAGGTCGTTGATGCAACATACTAAATCAGCTCTTGGCACAAAGGAAATACTCATTAAACCGTGGATTGGTTGTGAACACATACTGTACTTACCATGGTTCTTGGCTTGTGCCATCGCTGCTCTGTTTCAGTGCAGCTGAGGACAGGGGGGACAGCAGCCAGGTTGAGTGTGGGTGTGTGTGCAGTCTGGAACAGCAGTGCAACATTGTGGTTGTAGAGTGCTGTTCCAGCTACACAGGAACACTTTGCCACTGCAATCTCCACAGGTGAGCAGTTCTCAAAGACAATCTACACATTAAAACAAAATGTCAGACATTTTACATTTAGGACACTTCTTCAATACAACACAGACAAATGAGAAAGCTGAGAGCAGGCTGATCAGTAGTAGTAGGTGTGGGAAAAGGCTAAACCATGTCAGGTTGTCAGTCACATCACATACACAGAAGTTCTGCTGTTTGGAATACTGTAATTTAAGGACATTCAAACAGATACGCTTGTATAGCCTGTCTCAGCTCTCTCAATGTATTATCTTATATTATAACTACATAAAATAGTGTTAGTAGAACGTTGAACAGCTTAACATAGATGTAGGGTACAAAACCAGCACTTACCTAACACTGGCCAATACAAATAATTGGACCCTACATGGATTATACTAACCATTCAGTAAAGAACAGCCGTCACAACCCGTTTCTGGGGTTTCCATGAAAGCAGAGACGGTTTTCAACCTCTCATTAAGAATCTTTGATGAAAGCTAAGTTTGGGTTTAGCTAATGTATTTATTATTTCCCTCCCTACTCTGAGATCGTCAGGCTTTTCATGCTTTCTCATGGACCTGCAAGAATATAATACACATTAATACGTTAGAATACACAATATACCAAACAGTTTGAATTTTAAACACCTGAACTTTTGAAAGAACATACATAATATTCATCTGTTTGCAACTCATATATCAATATTCCAATTACTGTATACTACTCTGCACAGTTTATATTATATTCTGTTTCTATTATATTTTTATTTTATTTACTTGTACTATTTTATCTGTTTCATTGTGTTTCACTGTTGGACGAGCCTGTGACCTCAGATTATCATTGTCATAACTACACTGTAGCTATGCACACGACCACAGCCCTAGAGAGATAATCTCTTATATTATCTCTCTAGGGCTCTGCACACGACATAACCATAAAAGCCGTGAAACTTGAAACTAATATTTTACCCTAATATTGATTAATGTGCACTGTCCTGGGTAAATAAATTAATAAACATGAATAAATAAATGCTGTTTTCACTGTGCCTGTACTCCTGAGATGGCAGCTGGTAACCACCAGAGGGCAACACAGCTCTACTTTCCCAGTGTACATGAATTAAAAGCTTGACAGTTAATTGAACCAATGCCTTGGGGGGAGTTACTACTGATCATCCAATCATGTACATTTTTGGGAGGGACAAACCCATCTATCGACCAGTTGAATCTAACAGGTGGATTAATAAAGAACAGACTTGAGACCTTGTGCCAGGTGAGAGTTATAAACGTCTATTAAGTTATAAACGTCTATTATGATAGTTCTCATGCAGTAACATTAATATAACTGCACATTGTTTGCCTGTATGCATTGTTGTGGTGTTTTATTTGCAGCGGTTTGCATCGTAAAATACGTGATTTACTTCCAACACGTGTTTCTGTTAGCTAATCATGCTAATGTTAATGTAAGCTAACGTTAGCTTCTAATACATGTAGCTAACCGTGGTGCTATGCTAACGCCGACATTGCGTTTGTATAACGTTGGCTAATGTTAATTTCGGCTAACGGAGACATTGTGTATATCTAACGTTGGTGCCCGACTGCTATATTACCTGACTTTGGTAATGAATGTGAAATTAAAATGACTGGTATATCGCTTAATCTCGCTAGCTAAGGGGCTAAATTAGCATTAGCTGATATATAATATTTGTATTAGTTTGAGCCTTTTTATTCCTAATGGTTTCAACAGTGCCATATAGTTTTAATTATTCGTAAACATGTTCAAAATGTAGATATCTCTTTTCATATCACATTTCCGTGAAACATATATATTTTTTAGAATTCAATTTGGTAGTCAAGACATCTCGATAAGTGATGCAATTTCACTGCTAATTCTAAACGGAAAGTACCTGTAGCTAACATCATTAAAAACATATTTCCCAAGAATTAAAACAATAAAATATCACTATTAAATACATTGGGAATACAAATTATATTTGTATACATTTATTTTATTACTTAATAAGTCTACTGTTATATTTTAAAGTCAAGACAACTCTATAAGTGATATAATTTTACAATTACTTCTTAACGGAATCTAACGGTAGCTAATTTGCCATGCGGTGTTACCCACGTTTTTTATTTTCTGACCAGAGGTGGAAGAAGTCTCAGATCTTGTAATTGAGTAAAAGTAGAAGTACTCAGATCTTGTACTTGAGTACAAGTAGAAGTATTCAGATCTTGTACTTGAGTAAAAGTAGGAATTCTTCCCAAAGGTCAAGGAATACCATGATCATAACACCAGAGGGAGCTCCACAAATCATGTGAAACCCAGATTTGGCACAAAAAAGGGGGAATATACGTTTCGCAATTATGCCACATCAAGGTGGAACGCTCTTCCCACAACTGTAAAGGAAAGTAAAACTATACTTACCTTCAAAACCTCTCTTAAAGAGCACCTTCGAGGGAGAGCATTGCAAAACTGGCCCTGGTAATGGTACAAATCTCAACCTGTCGTTCAATGGACAGCTTCCCCCCCCCCATCTATGTATATACTCGCATTTTAGACTCTGTTACTAACTGTATATCTGTAGACTTGGTATGTCTTAAATGTCCGGTTAGGATGTATTAGAACGAAATCTAAAATGAAAATTGTAAATAAGCAATCTGTATGTAAAAAACCACCTGTATGTAAATTGTAAATAAGCCATCTGTATGTAAATATGTCTTATATGTCAAATATGTCTTATATGTCTTAAATGATATGATGAATTGGAAATGGGGGACCCTGATGTAAACAAGACGAAAGTCTTTCTCTGGTCTGCATCCCCTTAACAATTGTATGTTTTGAGCTGTACTGTACTGTACTGTACCCAATATACAAGCTGTTAATAAACTTTTCAATCAATCAATCAATCAAGTACTCAGATATTGTACTTGAGTAAAAGTAGAAGTACTCAGATCTTGTACTTGAGTAAAAGTAGAAGTACTCAGATCTTGTACTTGAGTAAAAGTAGAAGTACTCAGATCTTGAGTAAAAGTAGAAGTACTCAGATCTTGTACTTGAGTAAAAGTAGAAGTACTCAGATCTTGTGCTTGAGTAAAAGTAGAATTACTCAGATCTTGAGCAAAAGTAGAAGTACTCAGATATTGTACTTGAGTAAAAGTAGAAGTACTCAGATCTTGTACTTGAGTAAAAGTAGAAGTACTTAGATCAAAAGTAGAAGTACTCAGATCTTGTACTTGAGTAAAAGTAGAAGTACTCAGATCTTGTACTTGAGTAAAAGTAGAAGGACTCAGATCTTGTACTTGAGTAAAAGTAGAAGTACTCAGATCTTGTACTTGAGTAAAAGTAGAAGTACTCAGATCTTGAGTAAAAGTAGAAGTACTCAGATCTTGAGTAAAAGTAGAAGTACTCAGATCTTGTGCTTGAGTAAAAGTAGAAGTACCAGAGTGTAGGAATACTCTGTTACAGTAAAAGTCCTACCTTCAAAATGTTATTCAATTAAAAGTTAAAAAGTATTCTCATCAAAATATACTTAAAGTAAAAATAGTAATTGTGCAGATTGGTCCATTTCAGAATAATATATATGATATGTTTTATAATTATTAAAGTGTTCTCAAAGCTGGTAAAGGTGCAGCTAGTTTTATACTTTTTGGTTTCGTACAAAACAAGACATTTTACGTTTTCACCTTGGAGTTAAAGATACTGCCATAGGCATTTTTTTACATTTCCTAAAATGGATAGAGCAAACGCTTCATTGTTAGTTACATCCCTCTTCAACTGAATTCTTTGATAGTTTTGTAATTTATAATGTCTCATAACCAGGGAGGTACACGTTTTAGTATATTTAATTAAGTACATTATTAGCACCTTCAGGATTCAAAAGCTTTATTGTCATGCACAGTAGCGACAGTGTGTATATATAACAATGAAAATATTAAGTCCAACAATGCAACATAAAATATGACAATAACACTAATTTAAAAACAATAAAATAGTACAAGAAGAAACAGAGTAGAATAAAACAGTGCAATATTATCCAATGTGTAAATAATGCAGATTAAGTAAATGATGTATACTAAAGAAACATACAATAAGCTAAATGTTGCAGAGAATGTTACAAATAAATGCAGGACTCTGTATATATGTACACACAATAAGAGGGGGGGCGTAGTAATCAGCAGCGAACGTGTATTTTGGTGTATTCACGGCATTTATTTTTAGGGGTGCACCGAATGGGAAATTCTTGGCCGAAACCGAAAATAAGAAACAGTTGGCCGAAAACCGAATGCCGAAAGGCCGAAAATGATGAATAGAAATATATATATATATAATGTATACATTTGTTACCAATGTTGTTCAGCTACCTGATTATGGAAATAGACATGATTATGGCAAAACTTAACTTAAATAATAATCACTATTATGGGTCCATAAAACATTTATTCAGCACTTTTGAATGCATACAGTACATTTATATATGTCATGTATTATTGCTAAAAAACATGATATCGCAGTCTTAGTGTCGCCAACTCGTTTCTAATATGCAAAGACAACAAATGCGTCGATGATGTATTTTCGATCAGACGAGATCTCTCTCCCCGTCTGTGTGCGAGGGGGCGGGGCAGTTTACACACACGCAGCTGCTACATGCAGCGGAGCACACTGCGGAGATGGCGGAGAGAACGCGCTCCGAGGTGTGGTTAAACTTTACCCGTCTCGATGTGGAGAATACTTGTTACCATAAGTGCAATAAGAGTTTAGCATGTAAGCACGAGCAATTGGTCTAAACATTTAGCAAAAGTGCACCGCATGCAGACGGAGGAATGCACCGGGTTCGACCGTCTTTCTAGCAGCTCTGTAGCCCCATCACGAGTAACGTTTCCACGTCAGGTGTTATGTATGCTAGCAGCAACACACGGAGTTAACTACATGATACAAACATGGGTTAATGATTAGAGGAAACTGAGTTATTTAGTTTGTTAAAGTTTCAGCTATTCTGTTTACAGTCTGTCATCAGATTATTTAATACGATTTGTTAAAGGCTCAGGGCAATCTCGATGACAACGGTCAATGTCCCCCCCCCCCCCTGTGAGCCAGCCGCGAGCATGGTCGCCGCGTCTTTATTACGTCATCACAACAACACGTTAGGTTACCAACGTAAGCCTGTTCTGACATTCGGTGATATTTTTTCGGTGTTAAAACCCTTTTGGCCGAAAGGGCCTTTTTAACAATTTTCGGCCGATAATTCGGTGGCCGAATATTCGGTGCATCCCTATTTATTTTGTTATTCTACAGTATTGTTGTTTTATAGTTATTAACCCAATTTGTGTTTGAAATTGAAAAGGATATCTCATTGTGTTTGTTACTTTAGTTGCAGTTGTATTTGTCTTAAGTGTAATTTGGCTTCCTATTTATGGACATGCTTTTATTTTGAAGGAGAGTTAGCGCTGCTGACAGGAAGTTGTTGTTGCTATGGAAACAACGTGATGGAGATTAACGGAGAAAAGTAATATCTACATATAAAGACGGAGAAAGTAAACGATAACCTTTATGGCTAAGTGTTAGCCCCCCCCCGAACAAGCTCTTACGTTGAGATTGGAGATTTCAATCAATTCAATTTGAAAAAAAAATGGGACAAAACGAATATCCGAATAACGAAATTGAAACCCGAATAGTACTCCAACGAACGAATATTCGGATATTCGGGTACAGCCCTAGTTACAGGATGTGTTTTTTGTAAATTGTGTAACTTTTTTTATTATTTTTTTGTATCTTTAATATATTTTTGAATGCATGCTTAGTTCACATTAAGCTGTCTTTGGCTCTTTACGGCTGTAACAATGTACATTTCCCCTCTGTGGGACTATAGAGATAATCTGAGTCTGATTCTGAACCCTTGTTGTGTTCATGGGTTTTAATAGAAGTGGAGATATGGACCCAAAGACGCCCCCAGATGTCCCCTGGATGGGGCGCGGAGGAGGACTGCAGCCTCAGGAGCCGGCTATGGGACGAAGTAGAGGACTGCTGCTCTCTACAGAAGGGTTCAGTGTAGGAAGAGCCAGAGGTTTCCCCACTCCCAGCATTACTCTCGGACGAGGATTAGCTCTACCCGCTGCTGATCCAGTGTTCGGCCGAGCCAGAGGTCTGCTCTTCCTGGCCGCTGAGCCAAAAGTTGGGGTTGCAAGAGGTGCAATCCTTCCTCCTGTGGAGCCGCAACAACAACCTCCCACGACGAAAGACCCCACTCCGACAACAAAAGAGGTTAGAAAATGTTGTGTGTGCGCAAAGTGACTGTTATTTTGTATATATTGATTGTTGTGCTTTTTAATAATAATAATACATTTCATTGATCTAGCACACTTTAAAAACAACGTCATCTCAAGATGCTTCACAGTGCTATGAGGAGAACAGAATGAAACTAACACATTCAAAAGTTATCTAAGGAGCTTATTGAATAAAAGTTCAAGTTTTTAATAATAAATACATTTTCAAATAAATATAGAAACCAAAGATATTTAAAATGGCACTGTCGTATACATTTAATTAATCCATTTGATAATATGTAATCAACTTAGGCACCCCTCCAATTAATTTTTTTCAAATATTAATATTCGAATACCTGAATCATTTAGAATATTCGATTAATCATTCCCATCCCTGATTAAATGTAATGTCAACTCGTATGCCCTTACCGTAAAAGCTGCTACTTTACGTATCTTCTTGCAGGTTGACGCACCTTCACTCGGTCCAGGATCAACACTGGTCTCAATGTTTAGAGGAATGGGCATCGACCCCTCCATGGCCTCCTGGGGGAGAGGAGCACCAGCACTGGGTCTGTATTAAAAAACGCTTGCATTTTATTGATATTTGATTTAGAAAAGGTCACACATTTCACATCTGTATTTCATAAAGTACAATATACTTAGTCATATGTTAGGAAAGTCTCACTGGTCCCCGGCTTGAGCTTCAACATCAGGATCCATGTATTTGTGATCCTCTCCAGAATGGAAGTAGTCATCACATACAGAGCATCAACTAGTTCCTGAACAGTGTCCTTCACATGCTGATATCCAAGAGAGGGAGTTACACAGTCACAAGATGGAGGAATAGAAAGCAGTATTCAATGTTTACTTCAGATTAGCTCCACGTCAGAAATGAGCATGCTTGATGTCTCTCTCCATAGAGGCTGAATCATCATGTTAATCACATAGCTATCATATGCCTCAAACAGTCCTGATGCTCTTCTAGGTAATCACACATCCTGTCATGTTCACAGCTACAGTTGGGATACCTTTGTTATCATGTGCTCTCGTATATGTATATCTTTTACTCAAGATTCAAGGCTTTTATTGTCATGTGTGCAAAGCTACAGTGTAAATATGTCAATGAAAATCTTAGGTCACAGGCTCCTCCAACGGTGCAACACAATAAAACAGATAAAGTATTGTGTGTACTGAGTTGTCACTTGTTGATGCAGGAAGAGGAGCAGCTGGAGATTTGGGTGAGCTGCAACCAGTCGGTGCCATCAGCAAACCAGAAGGCCAACTGAAAGAGGTGACGGTCCGAGGCAGCAGGTAGGCAAAACAGGAGACAGAGTATTATCTAACATCCACTGAACGTTGTTGTTGTTTTTCTTTACTTACTTGTAAAGCACTTTGAGCAGCAGGAAAAGCGCTATATAAATAACATGTAGTATTATTATTATTATTTAGGGTTGCATAGGGGCGGAACATTTCCGGTACATTTCCAGGGAATTATGGGAACTAACTGGGAATTGAGGGTAATCGAATCGAATCGTATCCAAGCATAAATATAAACATTTAGTTTTGTCATAAGAAAACATCCATGCAAAAAGATACCATTTAAAAAAACACGACATTTCAACAGATGTATGTATGTAGGTAGAACAGAACAAGTTTTAATTATTTTATTGAACAATCATTTGTTTCATAGAAGAACAAAAACATGTGGAGTTAAATATTACTTCTAGAAATCATGTGTGCATGTGATGGAGGAATGCTCAGTGCCTGTAGGGGGTGTGGTCTCAATAGCCATGCAGTGAGCAGTGTGCTATGGCATGGATATTCAAGTGTACTTGAATGGCATCTGTTTGTTTTAGTCAAGATTATGCTAAAATATACTTTCCCCAATTATATTTAAGTTCCCTACGAAGAGCCAAGCTTCCATTTAGAAAATTCCCAGTTTATTCCCATGGAAAGTTTCCGTCTTTGAAAATTCCCGGAATTTTGCAACCCTATTATTTATTATTAGCATATTGCTGTCGACAGTATCAATATAAGATCAGATGGAAATGAATGTATCCCTGTATGGAAATTCAGGTGCTACAACAGAACAAGACAGAAACAGAGATACATGGGATAATAACAATATAAATGAAACATGTAGTAATGGTTAGTATAGAAATAACAAAAATGACATGAGCTAAACTCTGAACAGATGTATAAGGGTTAAATAAATACACATTTCATTGAGCACGGTAAACCTGTTCTAACACAGCAGCAACATTATTGTTTATATGATCTCTTTCAGTTTCCAAGAGGTTTTTCGAGGTTCGGCCCCTCAGACGATGATGGGGCTTGGAAGAGGGGCGATGCCTTTCCCCGGATCCGGAAGAGGACGAGCTCTCCCTCCTGTTTCTCCAGGTCGAGTTGAGCCAGGTCCACAAACAGCTGCCCCACACCTTCAGACTTCCCCCACAGGTAGGGAAAGATACAATGCTACCGTCACTCGATAATAAGACACACTTTGGTCTTAGCACCACACGTTATTTCAGCACACCGCCATCTTCGGATAACACATACAACACCTAACTCCACAGGGTCTTAACAAGTGCATTTTCCAAGGTATTACATTTTGTAGCTTGTTTTCAATAAGTACATAAATGGTCCAGAGAGGTTGTATTCTACAGTCTGCCTGAATGTAATCATTGCGTAGGTGTGTAGTGTGATTCTGTGTAGTTTATTGATGGCATCCCGTTGGACTTGACGTCATCTGAACAGGACATCGCACACTCACTGCTTGATAGCGTGAAGGTCCGTTTACGCCGGTTGTTAAGCAACATCGTTATGGGGAAATGCAAGTCTGCGTCCAAATGGTTGGAAAATAAGGAGGAAGGACAATCAATACTGTATATAGTCAATGTGAGGTGAAGTGTGTCGCCAAGGTAACCGGTTAAAACTCAAAGTGGAGATGACGTCTTCAAATGTATGGAAAGGGTCTTAAACAAGGTCTCAAAAGGTCTGACTTCAGGATTCCTGCATAGACCCTGCTCCAACGTAACACTTCACAACATCCGGTTACACTTCCTGTTAGAGCCAGTATTTAGTTTTTATAAGAAAGGCCACCTAATTGTGACGTCTGTAGTCAACACCCTATAAAAGTTAAAGTTTTTAATAGTTCAATTACCCTTTAAGTTAGTAAGTTATATAAGCCTTATCAAGACTGAAAGAATACCTAAGCTGTTATTTTATTTGAGTTTTGCCAATTTGTTTTGAATACTATTTTCTTTGTTGCATATGTAAAAGTTTATTATATTTTGAGCCAACACATCGCATAACATCATCCAAACCATCGGAGGCCAAGCAACTCTTCCAACTGTAAGTAATATAAAGGAAAGGAAACGAGTTAAAGCACGTCTGTTTAAGGCTTGATAGAAAAACAAGGAAGGAAGCCACGACACTTCCGGTTCTTCGCAATAAAACACATTAAACAGAAATAGTGCATGTAAGTTAAACGTTACTTCTGTAGAACTCCTGAAAAAGTAAGAAATGAACCTAAAATGTTATTGTTTTGTGAAGGAACCGTACCCCCGATGCCCATTACTCGAGAGGAGCTGGCTCCAGCAAAGGTGGAGTTTTCTTCTGTTTCACCAGCAAAGGAGATGAAAATGGAGGCAGTCCAGTGAGTATTCATCTTTCACTTGTAGTCACCTCTTCACACCTTGCATATCACAAGTATATTGTTGGTTATCATTCAGTTTCCACCAGACCAGGGCTGAGAGGGCGTCCACCCCGAGAGCTGGGGGGGGGTGTGACGTCACGTCGTGTCACGTGACCTATCTCTTTACGTATTAGTGATGGGAATTCCGGATCATTTGGCTCGGCTCACTAATGGCGCATTCCCACTGCAGGGCCTCGCTCGGCTTAGTACGGTATAGTTAGGCCTTGGTAGGCCAGGCTCACTTTATGCTGCGTTTCCATTACAGTTTAGTACTGGGGCATAGTGTTGCACGGTGTACCGATACTTGAAAGGTACCGCGATACCCTGCCGTTACAAACGGTACGATTCCTCCGTTTCATTCGTATCGGTACTTTAAGAATGACGGGGAAAAGTACTCCGGTGAGAAAGCGCCGTTTTAATAAAGAGCCGTGTGTGTTCAGCGCTCTGCTTCCACTCCCTGCACTGCAGCCGTGCCTGCAGTCCCGCCCCTCTCAAGCACGCTCTAAGTCCCTCCCCTCTCTCGTGCACGCGGCCACGCGCTAGCTGCTAGAGCATGTGAGAAAACGAGAAGCATGGCTGCAAGTGGGAGTGCAACTGCCGCTGCGCCTCGGCTTGTTGACAAAAAAGACGCCAGAAGCGAAATTTGGAAGTATTTGAGCTATATCTCTGACAGTGAGGGCAAGCCTACGGACACCACGAGGCCTGTCTGTAAGACATGTTTTAGATCCCTGCAAACCAAGGGAGCCAATTCAAACTTGGCTAAGCACCTCGCCGACCGGAATCCAGACAGGTTAGCGAATGTGATAGATAACATAATTACATCATGCTCAAGCCCATGCCCTCAAATCTAAGTCAAACCAGTGTAATTTATTTTGTGACAAACGAGGCAATTAATGGCAATGATAACTGTCTAATATGGCTATCTTTTTAGCTAACTTACCAATGTGGCTAACATCTGCAATATACATTTTGTCAATCATTATTTATATTACTGTACTATTACATGTTAATAAAATATAAAAAAAATTATATTTTCTAAAACAAAAAAGTTGTTTGAGATGATGCTGAATTTTATTTAATACGAATTCTTGTCATTTATTTTGTTTATTGTTCTCATTGTTTAAAAGTGTGTGTTATGGTTCTGGTTCTGGTGTGAAATAAAGCACAATAATTACATTTAAGACTGTTTCCCTTTTTTTAAGAAAAGTATCGAAAAAGAATCGGAATCGCAATTCTTGACTTGGTATCGGTATCGAAACCAAAATGTTGGTATCGTGGCAACACTACTGGGGCAGTAACTATAGTAACGCAGTGTAGGCGGAGCCGTGACGTCATCTTCAATGCGAACCACAAAACCAACATTAGCTGTTAGCTGTTAGCTGTTAGCTGTTAGCTGTTAGCACTCAGAGCTCACAGCTCCTCATATCTGTTCAGAAACTAGACAAAAGTGAAACAAGTACAAACCACAGACTGTCTGTGTCATGGAGAATACAGTCGCTGGTTTATTTATGTCTGTAGGCCGTTGTTGTGAGTGTGGACGGTCGGAGCATATATAACGTTAGCTTAGCCAATCTCCATTCAGAAAACAATACTACTTCACCAATAGGGACTGCCCCCCCCCCTTAGGGGAATTCATCCACAGAAAACACACTGGGCGCTGCACTGGGTCAGAAACCAGAGGAGACTGTGAAGTCCACCGCAGACGGAACACTTTTGGACAAAGTGTCCTCCATTAAAGGCAGCTCGTTGTGGAACAGCCTCCCAACTGAGATACGGGATTGTCCCACACGCAAGAGCTTCAAAGGTCAACTCAAAGAATGGTTGGGAAACAAACAGATGTGCGATCACCGCTAAATGCACTTTAACACAGGGGCATCATCTCAGCTCTTGTATCTTCTCTTGCACTTTATATGTCCTTGCTGCTATTTTGTACTACCATGTGGTTAATGCTTGTATATGCTGCTCTTTTTCACTTTCTGCATATCATGCATTTGTTTATAAATGTCATTTTCTTAAATGTTTTATGTGAGGGACTGCGGATGGAAAGTAGCTCAAAGCTAAATCAGGCATATTAACGCTCGACACATTTTAAACACGTTTTAAGTGTCCATTCCAATGCAGTGTCCCCGCCAAATAAACGATTCAAATAAAACAATATTTAGATTATTTAAAGAATGCATACAGTTTGGCTCTCTACAAGGCCTTTAGCTCGGTGTTTGTGGTGTGTTGAAGTGCAACATTTTACACATGAGAGGCACTAACATTAGGGCTGAAACAAACGACTAATTTGATAATCCATGAATGAAACGATTAATCGACTATTCGGACTATTCTGCCCAACGCTCTTATTTAGCTCAACTTTTAGATGTAGCTTGAGGTTGTTTTAGGCATGTGGAAACTAACAAAGAAGACAATAAAGATGAATACTTGATTCAAAAATACATTATTAAATTAACTAAACCCATTTTGAACAAGATTAACATTGCTTTTTATTTAAATTAAATAAATAATATTTCACATCAAAAGAAACAACAATGTTTTAACAAATCGTGTTAAATAATGTGATGACAGACTGTAAACAGAATAGCTGACACTTTAACTAAATAAATAACTCAGTTACCTCTAATCATTAACTAGGGGTGCAACAACTAATCGACTTAATCGATTAAAATCGATTACCAAATGAGTTGGCAACTAATTCAGTCGTCGATTCGTTGGTGACGTCATCACATGTGTTCTACACCCCGTTAAGCTCCAACGTTATCGCTCTTTTTTATCGGTACAGGAGACATTTAAAATATATGTCATGTATTATTGCTACATAAACATTATATCGCAGTCTTAGTGTCGGTTTCTAATATGCAAAAAGACTACAAAATGCGTCTATAATGTATTTTCGATCTTTCCAATCCAGGCGAGATCTCTCCCCCGCCTGCTTGCGAGGGGGCGGGGCAGTTTACACACGCAGCTGCTACATGCAGCAACACACACACTGCGGAGATGGCGGAGAGAACGCGCTCCGAGGTGGTTAAACTTTACCCGTCTCGATGCTCGTTACCAAAAGTGCAATAAGAGTTCAGCATGTGAGGGCGGTAACACGAGCAATTTGTCTAAACATTTATCAAAAGTGCTCCACATCCAGACGGAGGAATGCACCGGGTTCCACTGTCTTTCTAGCAGCTCTGTAGCCCCATCCACGAGTAACGTTTCCACGTCAGGTGTTATGTATGCTAGCAGCAACACACGGAGTTAACTACATTATACAAACATGGGTTAATGATCAGCTCACCGAGGTCTACCAACCAAAAATAAAGGAGGTAACAGAGTTACTCTTTATTTAGTTAAAGTGTCAGCTATTCTGTTTACAGTTCTGTCATCAGATTATTTAATACGATTTGTTAAAACATTGTTGTTTCTTTTGATGTGAAATATTATTTATTTAATTTAAATAAAAAGCAATGTTAGTTTTGTTCACAATTTGTTTAGTTAGTTTACCTTATTTCTTGTCAAAAGAACCGTTAATACTATCGTTAAAAGGACCGGATCGATAAGCAGTATCGATATAAGTAGTAGTACAGTTAAAACCTTAACGTTCTCTCCGCCATCTCCGCAGTGTGCTCCGCTGCATGTAGCAGCTGCGTGTGTGTAAACTGCCCCGCCCCCTCGCACACAGACGGGAGAGAGATCTCGTCTGATCGAAAATACATCATAGACGCATTTGTTGTCTTTGCATATTAGAAACGAGTTGGCGACACTAAGACTGCGATATAATGTTTTGTAGCAATAATACATACAGTACCGATAAAAGACCAATAACGTTGGAGCTTAACGGCGCGTAAAACACACGTGATGACGTCACCAACGAATCGACGACTGAATTAGTTGGCAACTAATTTGGTAATCGATTAAGTCGATTAGTTGTTGCTAACTGACTAACATACATTAAGGTTAGATCATTTGAAAAACGTATTGCGGTTATTTTCACTTTCACAGTATTGTCTACGTTTTTTAGCACAATTCTCATAATCATGAGATTTTAGAAATGCTAATCTTTGAGATCGGCTTGTTGTGTCAGGGTTACTAGTCACACAAGAATCAGAATACCTTTATTCGTCCCACAGAGGGCTAAATTGCAATAGATGTGAAGGCAAAATATACATTGAGAGCCATGCACAACACATTAACGATAGGAATTACACAAATGACAACAGTACATCCAGGTGGACAACGATAAGTACGTCTGACTGCATTTTGCGTAAACATTTTTGTACATGTGTTTTGTCTCCTGCTCAGGGAGGCTATTAATAAAGCTGGAACAAAAGGAACTGCAATAACGATCGGCTCAAACCACATCATGATTCGTTGCAAGAACGAAGCCGTGTATCAGTACCATGTGACATTCACGTAAGTACTGTGTCAGGTAACTCAGATAGATATGAAATGTCTATTAAACACAATCAGTGACAATCACATCAACTTAGGTACAGTTTTAAGGACTTAATGAGTGGGCTTATTCAGACGTTTGAATGAAAAACATAACCTTTGCATTATTTGTCTTGGTTCATACTACTTTTAGTAAACCAGAAAGCCACACACATAAACCAACATGTGTCATTCATTTCCCTTTTTTATAATTAGGAAGTATCCATATACCGTATTTTCCGGACTACAAGTCGCACCTGTCGCTGTGAAGGTCTCACTATCACCGAGCTAGCTATCCATCCAGTTAAACAGTGTGCCGGAGATCAGAGAAACTCCGGCACAAATGTCAGCTTTACTGAAGTTTAATGAATTGATGAAACACAATACAGACATGGCACACTGTTATTAACTGACGAGCTGAATAAACAATATAATCCACACAATGAGCTGCGACACATAATGCTGATACGCTAATTCAAGTCGCTTCGGAGTATAAGTCGCAGGACCAGCCAGACAGGTAAAAAAACGTATAGTATTGGAAATATTTTCGGGCCCCCCCCCCCCAACCCGGTTCCCTTCTATATTGGTAGGATTAATTGTATATTGTTGTAAAAACATTACATTTTCTCTGCTGATAATAAGAAGATATAAAGATCCAACTATATTTATATTTTATTATGGATTACACTTGAACAAAAGTGCTTGTAAGATACTGTGAATTAAAGTGGCCTAATTAAAACTAGCAGGCCTTCTTCCCTGAGTAGCAGATTTTTAAATTCAAATTTCTTTAAGGATAATATGTTAATTAACTATTATTTCTACTGCAGGTTGCAAACGATCACATCACTTTACCATTCCTATTCCACACGAGCTCATCGATGACTTGTTTTGAGACGGCCTCTCAGTTCATTCTCAATGTTCAGCTTTGATCTGTATTTGGTTTTGATGGCAGCAAGAAAAAGCCTCTCACACAAGTAGGATGTTGCAAAAGGCAGCATTATGCCCACAGCTCTCTGACCAGTGAGATATTTGCAGTGTTTGTTTACAATTGAATAATAATAATACATTTGATTTATATAGCACACTTTAAAAACAACGTCATCTCTCAAGGTGCTTCACAAAGCTAAAAGGAGAAAATAAAAAAATCTTCCTGCGACCCCCCCTGCAGTACCTCCGCGACCCACCAGGGGTTTGAAAACCACTGCTCTCGGAAATGTTTCTTTAAATGTGTGTGAAGTTAAAACTAACTAAAGCTAGAATTACACGGTAGCAATATTGGTTATAAAATCCCCCGAATCAACACATTGTCAGTCGATACTTTCATTATGAAAAGTGCTTTTTTTTCGGATTGATGAGCGCTTTCAATTATATATTTCAGTCCAAATGTGGAATCAATGGGGATGCGTTTCGCCATGATGAAAGATCACCGCGAGACCACAGGAGAAGTTATAGCTTTTGATGGATCCATTCTCTTCCTGCCTGTTCAAATGCAAGACGTAAGTATCACAGCTACCGTATTTCAGTCAGGAGAGACTTGTTTTTGATATAACAATATATATATCTGGAATTTGGAAATGACGACACAAAAGCAATATCACAATTTTGGAAAAACCTGCTTATGGAAATACATTTCAATGGAAACATTTTTTTTAAAAACAAACACTGATATTGATGCAATCTGGAACCCATTCTCAATCCGATTACAGTCACCACCCCTTTCTACTTCTTTAAGGTCAGAAGTAGAAAGGGGTGGTGTCATTCGAAACGTATTGAAATCAAACTACACTGTGCAAAATCTGTGACAATAACACTGGATTTCTTCCTTGCATCGTGTTCGACGCCCTACAGGTGGTTCATCTCAAGAGTGTGAGACGAACCGATAACGAGGAAATAGATATACGAGTCCAGATGACGAAGATTTTGCCACCAAACTCGGATCTATGCATCCCGTTCTACAATGTGGTGCTCAGGAGGTATTTTAATAATAATCCTACACTGTTTTTGTCAGAGAATGAGCACTTTGGATTATTATGTAAAATGATCAAGGTAAAGCACATGTGTGTTCATAGGCAGATCGGTGGTGTTCTGCTTTGCTATAACTCCATACAATTAACACTGTTGACATAAAAGGTAATGGCAATTTATTTAACCAGGAAGACTCGTTATCTTTTATCAGTGAGGCGGGAAAAAATGATTTGTTCTACAATTAGTATTTTTATATTGTGTTAACAGACAAAACCCAAACATAGGATATATTAAATGCAAAGTTTAAATGGTTTAATCTGAATAAAAATTATGTATTTATGCTGGGGGGAAATAAGTTTTGTGACAGTCGCTCCAATCTATAATTGGTAACCTAGCAACCAACCAAGCTTCAGCTAGCGGCAGTCAGAAACTCAGGCATCTTCGAATCTACTTACAAATACATATGTACGTTTTTGGTTGGAAAACATCGAATTTAGTGCTTGGTTGAAACCAGGGGAGGGGATCGTGTTTGAAGCCCGCTGCAACTTTTGCCAAGAAAGCGGTTAAACTCGGAACATTGGGGGTAAAGGCTTTACAATCTCACGGTCAGTCAGAGAAACACAAGACCCAAATAAAAAAATCAATTCCAAACGCCTCCCATCTCTTCTGTTTTCGCCAACGCTTCGGGAGCATCAATTGTGTCCAATGTAAGATCCCGCAACAACATGTGCTGTTATGTTCAGTCATCGTTCTTATGTTGAACGTGAATACATTTACTTTGTAAGCAATTATGGGACGTATTTCTTCTTTCATAGCAATTTTCCTTCATACTTTCTTGCTGTGAAATTGGTCTTAAATTCTATTCAAAGTGGTCTTAAAAAGTCTTACATTTCAGTTGGTGAAACCTGCAGGAACCCTGTATTCATATGTGCAATGCCTTGTCTTTTATGCTTCTGCATTGCAACATTTCCCAAATTGGGCTCAATAAAGTACTTCTTATATTATCTTAAAAGCCCTTTTAATGGAATAACCGAAGCCAAACTTTGTCCCTTTTATGCATAATGCTACTATTACGTTTCTATCAGGATGGTCCACTGACAGGAAATGACTCGGCACCTTCTCTTTGTATTTCAAGGGTAATGAAAATCGTCGGGCTGAAGCTTGTCGGTCGAAATCATTACGATCCAGAGAGCGCCGTCGTCCTTGGAAAACACCGGTAAGTACGGAGACGTATTTGAACATTAGAGCGTATACTCCATTTCAAATCAGGTCCATTAATTATCCTGTGTGTGTGTGTGTGTGTGTGTGTGTGTGTGTGTGTGTGTGTGTGTGTGTGTGTGTGTGTGTGTGTGTGTGTGTGTGTGTGTGTGTGTGTGTGTGTGTGTGTGTGTGTGTGTAGGCTGCAAGTGTGGCCAGGTTATTCAACCGCTATCAAGCGCACAGATGGAGGCATGTACCTGAACGTGGACGTGTCGCACAAAGTCCTGAGGAATGACTCGGTGCTGAATGTCATGTGAGTTTATACAGCTTAAAATCAAAGGAATCAGACATATTTGAAATGCACGGCTTTACAGCAGCAAAGGTACAGTGCGGATTAAATGCAAAAGAGTAGCCTTGCATATCAAATAAAAGGCAAGTAAAAGTACAAATAAGTACACCAGGTTAAGATAAAGTACGTTTGTTGTTACCCCTGTAATAAGTGAATTATTGTATTTATGATAATAAAGCAAACGAGTAAAGAAATAGCTACCGATATGAAGGCAGGGACATCAGCAGGGTAGAGAAAAATGTAGTGTAAGAAGTTGTATACAGAAAACGAAATATAGGACACGTGTGGGGAGGCGTAGTGGGTTAGTGCGTTGGTGTTGGGATCAGGGGAGCACAGGTTCAAACCCCACTGCAGTCAGCATGTCGTTGTGTCCCTGAGACACTTCACCCCAAAGTGCACAGTATTGAGCAGAGGTGGGGACTCGAGTCACATGACTTGACTCGAGTCGCATATTTTTTGACTTGAGACTTGCTTGACTAACATTGATAAAAGACTTGACTTTGACTTGGTATTCATGACTTGAGACTTGACTTAAGCTTGAGACAGATGACTTGAAAGGACTTGACTGTTTAAAATTAAACATTTGTTTTTGTATTGAGATATTACGTTTAGTTTTTTCTAAAAACGTGATTGGGTGATATGTATGTAGGTGCTGACGCTGTTGGCGGTTCTAGTGTTAACAGACATTTAAATTAAATATGTGGCAAATGCCATATATGATTTTCTTACCTGGAATTCTGCCTTTTTTAACAGACTTTTTGAGTCCTAGCTTTATTGTCTGCAGTTCTAGGGTTAATATGAATCTAATATGATTGTCATCGGTCTAAATTAGATTTCAAATGATTAACTGTGTATATAATGAAGATCATAGTGTGGGTTGAATCCATTTTCATAACCACTGTCTTTGAACTGATTTAAATGCGGAAACTGGGCTTATTCATCAGACTTTTGTATGACTTGACTTGACTTGCTTGACTCTCACCACAGTGACTTGGGACTTGCTTGATACTTGTAGGTCAAGACTTGAGGCTTGCTCATGACTTGCACATGTAAGTCGCTTTGGATAAAAGCATCTAACAAGTGACATGTAATGTAATGAAACAAATGTAAAGCATTCAAACAGTGGCAAGTTTACAGATGCATTCATGTTCTTATGTCAAACTTATGACACTTTATTTATACGATTAACATTTAATAAACTATGAATGTGTCACTCAACTCAGCTAACTGACGATATGAACCATTTTTAGCTAAATAAAAAATGAAGCTGCAGTTAGCACAGAACTCAAGGTAAAATACCCTTATTACTTATCAGATCTGCACAAACAAGATATCGATTAGCAAGCTGAGATTCCACAGATTCCAGACGTATAAGTATCATCACTGAGCGATCAGAACGACAGGGGAAGCGAAAACAGACATCGTAGCTTCACGGAGGAAACACAGATTACCTTAGCTGTTGTTCTGATCAAAAGTCGTGTTCAATGGCATCAAAGCGATTAAAAACACTGCTGAAGGTTAATCCAATGTGTCTGTGTCACTTTGAAATTATTCCTGATAATTAGGGATGCACGATAATTATCGGCCCGATATTAGGAATTATGACGTCATCCCGATAAACCCGATACCAGTATTAATAGCCCCGATAATATACAATATATTTTTTGGGTGGATTGGGATGAGGGGCGCTTGTTTTTCACTCGGCTCCTCCCGTTTTGCCAGTACTGTGGTATTAGTGGTTTAGGAAGAGGGGAGTTCTTCACAAATCCAGCGCTCCCTAACTCATGCCTGGCTGTGACGTAAATGGTGTGCGGCCGTGAAGCCAGGACAGTAAACGAACATGTCGTCGGTGGTATGGGCATTGGAGCTATGTGCAACTCAAGGCATATGCTCGAACCGGAGCTGCCTGGACGCTGCAATCATGTTGCGCACTATCCGTGCTGAGTGTGCTGACTTCTCGTACAATGTCCCACTGTCTGGCTTCCTGCATAAAGTCAAGTGCTCGGCGCAGTTGTGGCGAAATGTCGCTCCTCTGTTTTCATTTAAACGGCTCCGTATATCCGTTAGCGCAGTTAGCTAGCACCAGATGCTAACAACAACAATACACGTAAGGTCTCTCTCTCGCTCGCTCGGGCCACACATACACACACCCTCCCGGTCCTCCAGATGGCCAGTCGGTGCCTGCCGGTGAGCGTGGAAGTGTGGTCTGCAGCAAGCGGGCTGTCAGCATCAGCTAGATGGTATTTTAAACTCGATGCGCTCTGAAACTACGGGGCGGCCGAGGAAAAAAAATACACATGCGTTAATCGCGTTAAAATAATTAGTGGCGTTCATTTTTTTTTATTATCGGTCTTGAGAAGCAGGAAGTTATCGGTATCGGTTTCAAAAAACCAATATCGTGCATCCCTACTGATAATACATCTTCATATTTAATAATAATAATAATGCATTTTATTTATGGGCGCCTTTCAAAGCTCTCAAGGACACCCAGTAAGATCACACAGTAATACAAGACTTAAAAACAACAATCAGTTTAGAGAAATGATTAAGATATTGAATACGCCAGTTTAAAAAGGTGTGTTTTCAGGCTGGATTTGAAGGTCGAGAGTGAGTCCATATTGCGGATGTCTTGTGGGAGAGAGTTCCAGAGACGGGGGGCTGAAGGCTCTTGACCCCATAGTGGTCAGGCGGGCAGAAGGTACAGTGAGCTGGAAGGCAGAGGAGGATCGGAGGGCACGAGAGGGAGGGTGTGAAGGAGTTCAGAGAGATATGGAGGTGCAAGAGTGAAGGGCCTTGAAGGTGAGGAGCAACACTTTAAAATCTATGCGGTATTTAACGGGGAGCCAATGGAGTTGTTGGAGAACCGGAGTGATATGATTAGTGGAAGGAGTTCTGGTAATGATACGGGCGGCTGCGTTTTGGACCAGTTGGAGCTTACGCAGGGATTTGTGAGGAGGATACTAGTTTGAGCCTAGGTTTCAGGTTTCAGTTTTCAGAGCGTAACATAGCTTTCGACAGCGTGCGCGTCACACTCATTCCTCAATGGTAACGTGTGTGTGTATGTGGAACTTCCCCTTCGATTCTATTGGCTCTGACGGTTAAAAAGAGATGTCAATCACCAAAATCGACCAATGGGTTCCAGAGAAACGACAAATCCACCCAAATGACCCCAAAGGTGGGTTTTTTTTCTAAATCTCTCTAAAAAGGTCAAATGTCACTTGTTTCATTTCATTTTCAGTCTTTATTTCGAACAGATTAACAAATAACAAATGTGAAAAACAGAATACCGTATTGTTATAATACAGTAATTATCCACATTCATGGTAATATTTGTATGTTCAACAAAAAACTAAAAATGTCTTCATATTAATAATAATAATAAATCATGTGTCCGAAAGGGAGCAGGAGGAAGCAAATGCTTATTAATTCCCACCCCTTACTTGATCCATGATTGTCCTTTAAATCATTATGCAAGTTATTCCTACATACATTTACATGTATACGTACACAATCATTTCTCATCTTCAATCACCTTTCTTCATTCTCATATTTTTCCAAAAAAGTGTTTCTGTGCATCCTTTTAAACTGAATTATGCTTTAACTCCTGCTCAAACCATTCCATACAATCACCCCACAGATTGTTAAACTCATACTTCTCAGAGTAGTTCTGACCTTGAGTTGTTTCAAATGTAGATTTCCTCTCAAATTATAATAATCTCAATCTTGATACAGGGTACTTATTATAAGTTATAGTTTGGATTCCTAAAGCTTTTAGTACCATCCCATCATTCAAGGGTGGTTTTCACTATAACTAATGTTTTCTTTTTGGACGGACACTATCATTTAAAAATGTTTACTATGTTCAATCTGAATTTACTTTAAAATAAAAACAATTCTATATTTATTCTGACTCTTCTACATCCAACTCACAGGTTTATCATTACTTTGAGAACAAAGATTATTAATTTTCCCCTTTTAGAAGTGAAGATATCGTAATTTGTTCGAGGGTTAAAAGGCTGGCCTAAAAGCTTGAAGCAATTTCCATTTGTTGGTGATATGCTACACTTGCCTTGTCATTTTATAAAATAAATATGAGGACATCTTTTATCATGTTTACTTTTGTATGTCCTCTAGACATGTTCATACAAATTTAAACATTGTGCCATGACCAGGCCTTGCAGAGCTATATAAATGTCATATTCTGTGGTATAGTCATACATATTTGAACACCAGGTTTTAAGAGAAGACCTTGTTAGTGCATCTGTCCTCCGAGATTAAACAGTCAATTCTCCCGACCACTATAACCCCTTCCTGTGGGAATGAAAGGTGAGCTGGAGGGCAGTGATTATTTCATCTATATATTATTTATAAAAAGAACATCCTTGTCCTAGGTTTGCCCTTTTCCTGGAAAGGCCAAAAGACACTATGTAGCTTTTCTATTTAAAGTAAAAATGGATGTCTTCCAGGAACGTAATGTACCAAGACTGCACGGAGTACTTCCAGGACGAATGCACCAAAGAGCTCATCGGAAACATTGTCATCACGCGATACAACAACCGCACGTACCGTATCGACAGCATCGAGTGGGACAAGTCGCCCAAAGACACGTTCACTTTGATGGACGGCACCCAAACCACCTTTGTGGAATACTACAGGTGAGTTTCACTCTGAACACTGAGCAGGAACCCAAGCCTAGGATACATTAAAGGTCTCCTATTGTGCAAAATCCACTTCTCCATGTCTCTTCTACATCAACGTGTGTCCCCTCTTCTTCATGTCTCTTCTACATCAACATGTGTCCCCTCTTCTTCATGTCTCCTCTACATCAACGTGTGTCCCCTCTTCTTCATGTCTCTTCTACATCAACATGTGTCCCCTCTTCTTCATGTCTCTTCTACATCAACATGTGTCCCCTCTTCTTCATGTCTCTTCTACATCAGCATGTGTCCCCTCTTCTTCATGTCTCTTCTTCATCAACATGTGTCCCCTCTTCTTCATGTCTCTTCTACATCAACATGTGTCCCCTCTTCTTCATGTCTCTTCTACATCAACATGTGTCCCCTCTTCTTCATGTCTCTTCTACATCAGCATGTGTCCCCTCTTCTTCATGTCTCTTCTTCATCAACATGTGTCCCCCTCTTCTTCATGTCTCTTGTACATCAACATGTGTCCCCTCTTCTTCATGTCTCTTCTACATCAACATGTGTCCCCTCTTCTTCATGTCTCTTCTACATCAAACATGTGGTCCCCTCTTCTTCATGTCTCTTCTACATCAACATGTGTCCCCTCTTCTTCATGTCTCTTCTACATCAACATGTGTCCCCTCTTCTTCATGTCTCTTCTACATCAACATGTGTCCCCTCTTCTTCATGTCTCTTCTTCATCAACATGTGTCTCCTCTTCTTCATGTCTCTTCTACATCAACATGTGTCCCCTCTTCTTCATGTCTCTTCTACATCAACATGTGTCCCCTCTTCTCCATGTCTCTTCTTCATCAACATGTGTCCCCTCTTCTTCATGTCTCTTCTCCATCAACATGGGTCCCCTCTTCTTCATGTCTCTTCTACATCAGCATGTGTCCCCTCTTCTTCATGTCTCTTCTTCATCAACATGTGTCCCCTCTTCTTCATGTCTCTTGTACATCAACATGTGTCCCCTCTTCTTCATGTCTCTTCTACATCAACATGTGTCCCCTCTTCTTCATGTCTCTTCTACATCAACATGTGTCCCCTCTTCTTCATGTCTCTTCTACATCAACATGTGTCCCCTCTTCTCCATGTCTCTTCTACATCAACATGTGTCCCCTCTTCTTCATGTCTCTTCTACATCAACATGTGTCCCCTCTTCTTCATGTCTCTCCTACATCAACATGTGTCCCCTCTTCTTCATGTCTCTTCTACATCAACATGTGTCCCCTCTTCTTCATGTCTCTTCTACATCAGCATGTGTCCCCTCTTCTTCATGTCTCTTCTACATCAACATGTGTCCCCTCTTCTTCATGTCTCTTCTACATCAACATGTGTCCCCCTCTTCTTCATGTCTCTTCTTACATCAACATGTGTCCCCTCTTCTTCATGTCTCTTCTACATCAACATGTGTCCCCCTCTTCTTCATGTCTCTTCTACATCAACATGTGTCCCCTCTTCTTCATGTCTCTCCTACATCAACATGTGTCCCCTCTTCTTCATGTCTCTTCTACATCAACATGTGTCCCCTCTTCTTCATGTCTCTTCTACATCAGCATGTGTCCCCTCTTCTTCATGTCTCTTCTACATCAACATGTGTCCCCTCTTCTTCATGTCTCTTCTACATCAACATGTGTCCCCTCTTCTTCATGTCTCTTCTACATCAACATGTGTCCCCTCTTCTTCATGTCTCTTCTACATCAACATGTGTCCCCTCTTCTCCATGTCTCTTCTACATCAACATGTGTCCCCTCTTCTTCATGTCTCTTCTACATCACATGTGTCCCCTCTTCTTCATGTCTCTTCTACATCAACATGTGTCCCCTCTTCTTCATGTCTCCTCTACATCAACATGTGTCCCCTCTTCTTCATGTCTCTTCTACATCAACATGTGTCCCCTCTTCTTCATGTCTCCTCTACATCAACATGTGTCCCCTCTTCTTCATGTCTCTTCTACATCAACATGTGTCCCCTCTTCTTCATGTCTCTTCTACATCAACATGTGTCCCCTCTTCTCCATGTCTCTTCTACATCAACATGTGTCCCCTCTTCTTCATGTCTCTTCTACATCAACATGTGTCCCCTCTGTGTAAAGAGACTCTGAAAGTTTCAGGAACAAAGATTCTCTCTCTTTTTGATCCATTTCTATAAAAACCTGTCTGAAAATGAGCTGATCAGATTTTAGTCACTTTATGATGTCATAACGATGTGTTGTCTTGTGTAACCATTAGCCAATCACCACCAAGGTAACACCCCCCCCCCCCCCCCCCCTTATCACCTGAATCTCCTCTAGAGCACCATTGAGTTCTTTGTAACCAAATGTCTCTCAGAGGGGCGTGGGGAGGGGCTCCTTATTTTTCATCTAAAGTAACAGACAGAGAATCAGCACTTTGGAAACAGGGCTGAAACAGAGGGGATTATGGGTAATGCTGCAATGATCTGTTTGGTGTTTCAGCCAATCAGAGACAGGCTCTGTATATATCTGAGACCTGTGATATATTGATGAAAAACAGTATAATAGGGGACCTTTAATTAAGAGCAGCGATGAAGCCTCAACTGTTACTTACATGTGTATTTATTGCAATTTCTTGTGCTTTTTACAGCAAGAACTACGGGATTACAATTAAAGAGATGGACCAACCGCTGCTCATGCATCGCCCGAAGGAGAGGGCCAAGCCAGGAGGAAAGGTAGAAACTCTCTTTTGCTTCACTTTACTTTTAGCCAAATATTTCTCCTTTTTCTGACCTTTCTCTGTAAACCCTAGAGATTCCCAGTAGATCAGCACTTCCTGAAAAACCAACAACCACGTCACGGTCAAAGTAACTTAAGTAGGGCTGAACGATTAATCGATTTTAAATCGAAATCGCGATTTTAAATGATACGATTATCAAATCGCAAAGCCATTTTTTTTTTTTCTTCTTGTGTGTCAGTCACACCAATCAGAAGTGCTGTGCTCCACATGTACCAGCCATTGTTAACCAATCAGAAGTGGCCCATGATAGAAGGTGATAGACAGATTGATCCAATCACCTGCCAAGTGCTTTTGAAAGTGCCTGCCCTTTCCAAATGGCTTCCAATGGAGCTTTAGACCCCGGCCACACGAGGACGAAAACGGCTAAACGCATAGGATTAACGCAATCGCAAACAAGCTTCCGTCCACACGGATAGCTATCCGGATAGTGTCTGCCCACACGAGACAGCTCCGTTTAGCTCCAACCGCTGGAGAAGCTGCAGTACATATGCAGGAGCCTGCACGTGGCGCTGTAACTTCCTCCACAAAAGCAGCGAAGAAGCATGGTTGTCATGGTTGCCCTTCTGTTTATTCTCCGCGGTGGGGGCCGAGGGAACCGGGCAGAGTTTTTCGCCAGTCAACGTGAATTAAAGTTTAAACCTTCCGACAAAATTATAAAAGTGCCGGTCAAAGGTCTTCTTTGTTATTTATTGAGCTTTAAAACAAATGAATAACGACTCTATAATATAATAATAAAAATACACGGAGCCTCTCTTTTTCCACCCTCTCTTTGGACAGCGCCAGTGTCTGTCTCATGCAGCAGCTGATCCAGTAATGAGTGACCCGGCCGACAGTAAAAATAAACATATTTATAACTAGTTTAGGTAGTTTGAGAGGTGTCTCCGTCCTGTCAGATTAGACTTCTCTCGCGTTTATGTCCATATCGAGAGAAAGATAAATAATCTGAATTCAGTGTGCAGTTTACTTTGACGCGGGGGTGAGCAGCAGAGGTGGGGAGAGGCGGGGCTATTGCCTCATCATTATCAGAAAATGATCGTATAGGGCGTACACACGGAGCCGTTGGACCCCCCAGAGCGTTGCGTATGCCGTTCTATCCACCTTGGGACCCGTTATCGTTTACGCAGTCGTTTAGTGCCGTATTCGGTCGTCCTCGTGTGGCCGAACGGTCTATATGACACTAAACAGTAACATAAACGACCGTTTTCGTCCTCGTGTGGCCGGGGCATGAGATGGTTTGGTGAACCACCTGAGTCAGGTTAGTGATGCTCCATCACATGTTTCTATTTCAGGGTGAATCTTAAACTGAAGCTTGACTTTAAAGCAAGCCAACGGAAGTTTCATGTAAGTTTAGTTCTTTCGCTCGGGCTGCGGGGGTGCTAGAGACGGGAGCACGTTGATGCAACCTTCCTAGCCGGAGTTATGGCCACATTTTACAATAAACTTACGTTGAGTCGCTTAAAAACAAATATCGCAAATCGAATCGCAATATTTGTCAGAAAAATCGCAATTAGATTTTTCCCCAACATCGTGCAGCCCTAAACTTAAGTCACGTTTCGTCCCCGTTCTGATGCTCTTCACCAGGTCGTCTTCACCATGCATTGAGTTGCTGCCATGTGATTGGCTGATTAGATATTTGCCTTAACGAGCAGGTGAACAGGTGTACCTAATAAAGTGGCCAGTGAGGGTATAGTTGCATGTCTGTGTGATATGTTAAGATTAGATGGGCTTGTATTGATCCCCATAGGAAGGTCAGGTGTTCAAGCAGCAATGGAATAAGAGAAATACAGGACAGAATGAACACAAGGAAAATACAAGTATTAGTAAACATGTCAGATTCAATTCTAGGCTTTATTGTCATGTGCACAGGGCCTACAGTGTAGATAACACGTATTAAACTATAGTCCTAGGCTCCTCCAACAATGCAACATAATGTGTATATAGCACATCAAACTAATAAAACCAATCAAATAGTTCAAGAAATAACAGAATAGAAATAAAATAGTGCAAGACAACAATATGACCTTCATCAAAGTGTGAATATGTGCATGTATAGCCGGTTGTTTTTACATGGGTTACATCGTTAAGCTTTGATTATGTCTGAGGTGGTTTGTGATTTAAACATTAGGAAATGCTTTAGCCTTTGCTAAACAAAGTGATTCTCTGTACAGGAGATCACTCGGCTGACAGGAACTCTTGCATGAGAATGCCATCTTGTGGCTACAATAGTTCATAGCAATGACTAGAAAGACACAACATAATTAGGTTCATTAGGATTGTCATATCCAGCTGTTTAGATTTGATCCAATGTGAGAAGCACTCTGTTTTTGCTTCAACAACCTACTTTATCTATACTTGTTATATACATGTAGAAATGAATACTATAGGTTATGATGATTCTAAGTTGTACCAGAATCACAATATTTATAAAGGCTCAATATGTGTTAACATTTAATTTTGAATGAAGTTTTGTGAAGCTGGTCAGATATCCTGGCCTACAAACCATAGTGTGCAGACTTAACACTAGGGTTGGGAACCGATAAGAAAATGCCGGAGACCGGGTACCCGTACAAAATACACCTTTTCGGTTCTGCTTAACGGTTCCTAAACGCGGTAGACCCTGTATTCCAGCGGGTCCGTCTGCGCCGCGGTGACCCGGTAGAATACAGGGCGGACTGGCCATCTGTGTGTTCTGGAGAATCACAGAACGGCCGGTCGTCGCCGGCTCCGTTCGCTGACGGTCGGCACCGCCCTCAATTTTTTTAAACGGCATCATGTAAGTTGCGCTGACAGGCGACAGAGGTCCACAGTTGCCCCGCAGCGAGGCTCCCCCCGCCCTCCCCGTTGACAGTTCACGAGCTCAGTCACTTCATAACACCAAAGATGGGTAAATGCTCTGAAGTGAGGCGCCACTACACTAAAAAAGACAAGGCACAGTGTAATGCCTGTTAATAGCTCGCCACAGGCATAGCTCAGTTAAAATAAAGCACAGCTATTGTGCAATACATTTGTATTGCATGTATATATTTTATTTGTAACAATTTCAGTTAAAGCTTAAAAGAATAAAGATATTTTTGTTATCTAAACGTTTGACGTTTTTATTTTACAATTTTGGAATCGAAACGGGGAATCGATAAGAACCGGAATCGATAAGCAGAATCGGAATCGATACATTTCAAACGATACCCATCCCTACTTAACACATATTGTTTGGTATTTCCTCTTAAGGCGAGACACGGCAGGCAAAAACGTTTCCTTTCAGGCTTTTGGAATGAAAACGTACAAAATACACATTTAGGTGTTTATTTTACTATAGTTTGTCTGTTTGTGTCTGTAGATTTAGCTTTCTCTGTGATCCAGAGAACAGGAGGGTTTAGGTAGCGCCACACAGCAATCTTTAAAGGTCGTTTTCTCAAAATGAGTTATTTCTCCTATTCTGAGACATAGGACATTTCCACTTCAGTAGCACTTACACCAAACCCTCCAGTTATATTCCTATCAATATTCTGAAGGTTTTTAAAGAAGGGTTTGTTCATATATCATTCATAGCCTGAATTATATAACATGTTATGCCTAAAAACATGGCGAAAATTGATATTTTAGGGCTGTTGACAGTATTTTCTGATTTATGGAGTGATAAAAAGAGATATCCAAAATCCCTTCTGTGGGGGAAACTTCTGAAGCAATTGGAGTCAGGACTCAGAGAGGCACGAGGAGAGCTGGAGCTTTGATGGCAAACACTGGCGGTTTATTTGGAGTTACGGCCGGAGAATTCACAAGACAGGTGGTGTGTCACGAGCTGACACAGCGGTTGCCAAACCAATTCTGAAGAACTCTTTCTGCAGCTCGAGGTTTTAACTAGTTTGCAGTGTAATAATCAACATTCTTTATCAGCGAGACTAAACAATTATGGACCCTGAATCTAACTAGAGCTGTCGTCCATAGAGAAGAATGTTCGCTAGGGAACCTTCGTCCCTGATAAAAGAAAGGGCTCTCGATGTCCCTGAATAATAAACGATCTCATGTCAGCTTGTGCTCGGTGATAAGCTGACATCAACAATGCACCCAAGCTGCTCCTCCTTAAGAGAGATAGCAGCAATACCCAAGGCCGTAGACCTATGCCGTGGGAAAGGAGACGGTGAGAGGAGAAAACGATGAACTGTGTCGAAGGTTGAATACCTAAGCAAATGATTCTCTAACACCTTCTGTAAACGCTTTAGATTCTAATATGACTACAAAATGAAACAAGAATTTTGAACCTGGCTTTATCCAATGTTCAGATTTGTGTTCCTGAAATGTGTTAAAGTGTGCGCATATTTAATGAGATAATGGCTCATTTGCATATTTAAACATGCTATTTCAGAAAACCTGTAATACAAAAAACAATTGTCTTAATGTAAGAAATTAACTGGAGAAATGTCTTGCTGATATCTTTAAGTTAACAAAAGTACTCTATTCACCTGTAGTGTCTCGCCTTAATATATTTTGTACATAACAAACTCCTCCAATATGGCAATAACAGTCAAAAGACATGCAATTAGCTCATCATTTCTTAATGGTAAAGAAGGAAATGTAATAACAAATATGTCGGAGGACAGGCAACTTGCTGTGTAGATAACTTTAGTATTAAAATGTTTATTGCAGCAAATCATCACTGGAGAGATTCTGCTCGTGCCGGAGCTTTCCTTCATGACGGGAATCCCAGACAAAATGAGGAAGGACTTCAGAGCCATGAAGGTACATGTGATGGTCTTTTATAATATATTATGTTAGACAGGATGTATAGCTTTGTTATGATTATTAGATATTAGTTCAAATACTTTATTTATCTTAGGGGAAGCTAGGTTTGTGACTTCATTTTGGAATAAAATAGTGTTTAATAAATACATGTAAATGTGGATGTCACAATGCAAACAGTGGTGTATAAGTATTAATAGATATCAGGGTTTTTTTCTGTGATACTGTGGCGCTGATCTTGTATAAGATGTATAACAATTCTCACGAGAACATGACGCCCGTAAACAAGATGGCACCACGGACGTCAACAACATGACGTCGGAGCTCTGTAAAAACAAAGCTGTCTGTCGCTCTGTTTCGACACCATTCTCCTATTTTAGGAAGAATTAAACAGTTTGTGACGAACAGAAATAATGTTTTCTAGCATCACTTTAAAGTTTTTACCCGGTTTAGACAAAACTCTGGATATATTGATATTCAAAACCAGATGATTTGCTCAAATGTTATACAGTATTAGTTCTTGTATACAAATAATATGTCGTATTAGGAGATACAGGTCTGAAAATAAACTAAAGGCAATTTGTGTTTGGAAGATGATTTCTTTGTTGTTTGCAATAAATCTTATACCGTTGGAGAGCCTGTTTTCTTACCTTTCCAATGGCGCCACATTTGTGAGGAACGAGCATTTGTGGGATGAGCAGCAGATCTGAGTATGTGGGGTGCGCCCATGAAAAATGTGACACATCTCCTGCCAATGCCAAACAGCTATCATCTACCAAAACACACATTGCCTTACTTTTTGTGTTAAGTTTATATATCTATATATAATAATATGTTTCCTGTTCGTTAGGACCTGACCATGCACATCAATGTGAGCGGAGAGCAGCACACGCACGCCATCAAACAGCTTCTGAAGAACATCAGCACCAACCCTGAGAGTCAGAAGGAGCTGAGCCGCTGGGGCCTGGACCTCGACTCCAATATCATCTTGGTCGGTTTATATACATGTTAGAAAGATATCATTCGTCCCCGGCTTGAGCTTCAACCTCAGGATCCATGTGTTTCTGATCCTCTCCAGAATGGAAGTAGTCATCACATACAGAGCATCAACTAGTTCCTGAGCAGTGTCCTTCACATGCTGATATCCAAGAGAGGGAGTTACGGCCCGTCCACACTACAGCGTCGACAGCTTCAATCTGCCCATTCACTTTGAATGGGGTGACGTCAAGTTGCCGCTTTTTTTCGCCGAACTGAATTGTGGGTAGCATAGCGGTCCGTTTCCGAGTAGCCAGCGCCAGCCAATCAAATCCCGTTTCGGAAAATCTGACAGCTCAAGCCGTAGCCAATCAAACCGCGTCTAAGCTGGGAGAGATATCCCGCCGTTCATTTCTATATTTCAAAAAAAAGATGGAGGAGAAACTAATTATCGCCGTAGCGAATCACCCGGTTTTGTATGACCAGACCCTCTTCACCTACCGGGATACAAACCGGAGGAACCAGGCATGGAGGGAGGTGGCAGAGACAGTGGGTGAAACTGGTAGGTTTTCGCCTGTTTGGGGAGTTTATATATATATATATATATATTGCTCGTAGGGCTGTGCGATTATGGCAAAAATCATAATCACGATTATTTGGGTCAATAATTGATATCACGATTATTTTGACGATTATTCATTGACCATTTATTGAACTTTAAAACAAATAATATTTTACCAATAAACAAGATCAACAAATATGTTGGAGCACACTTCCAAAACCATACTAAACATATATTATTAATATGATAAATAAAAATAAATTAGACCAAAATAAATGAAATCAAACATGTTGCAGTGCACTGTCACAGCCTACTGAACACTCCTTAACATATAGCCAACATTTTGGTAAAACATATTCAACATATTCCACTCAGTTAAACGTTGAAGGCTGGCCAACCGTCATGGTCCAGAAGTAACAGGAAATAAATGTTGAACTACAATTTAAGACCAAATAAAAATGTCTAGGCCACCATGTCAAATGCTGGTAGGGCTGCTCGTGTCATCTCTTAAAGATTGTTCGCAAGAAACACCAGGCTGTTTACATGGTCTGGTTTCAGAGATGAGCGCAAGCAGGTGACGATATTGCCACCTGTACTGAAGACCCTCAGCCACGCCCCGACACATGGGGTGACGCCGGCCAATCACAAAGCTTTGATGCGTTCAAGTGCATTATTCTGGCACAGGAAGATTATGTTACAGGACATTAACGATAAAACAGAATATTGTTGTTCTATTTTTAGACACATCTCGCGATCGACTGGTTGGGCACCCCTGGGCTAGACCATAGGTCCGTTGTGGTGGAAAAGTAGTCAGCTGAAGCCACATCTCTCTCAACTTCCCCACGGCATTTGTCATATAGTGCAGGCAGCGCAGACCTGCTGAAATAATACCGAGACGGCATCGCGTAACGCTTGTCCAACGTGTTGACAAGTTGCTTAAAGCCCTGGTTGCTAACAGTGCTAACTGGGCACATATCTTTAGCGATGTGAAATGTAATGGCACCTGTAATATCTCTGTCTCTGCGAGCTCGTCGCGTAGGCCGTTGCTCTGTACAATGCGTCCTGAATCGATGACTGTGATGATGTGGTGGATGAAGTCGAGCGGGCATCTGCTTTTTGTTGTATTACTGCCCGGTCGTATTGCACTTTGTGGTTGTATTTCAGATGATTAAAGAGATTGGTTGTGTTAGCGTGTGGTGCCAACACAACCTGGTAACAAATCCTGCACTGTACTTTGTTTTGCTCCACGTCAGACTCCTGAAAGCCAAAGTACTTCCAAATAGTGGAAATAGTTGTACCCTTCTTTTTAACGAGTTGCTGCTCTTGTTCTGACATCTTCGCTCGCGCTGAACACTCACAACACATGTCACTCCCACGTGGCCGAGTGGGCTTTTAGGGTGGGGCGAAAGCGCACCCAACAAAATAATCATATTTTGTCAATTATGCTATTTTCATAATCGTCGCAAACCATAATCGTAATCGCGATTAAAATACGATTAATTGCACAGCCCTAATTGCTCGCATAAAATCCCCGGGGGTTTTTGCTTTGTATGTCGGGGGCGGGAGATTCATGTGATTGGTTGTTGGTCGCGTTGCTTGAATAAAATCCCCAAGCTTCAGACACGCCCAGCTCCAAGATTTTTTTGAAGCTGTAGTGTGGACGCTCCGTTACACCGTCACAAGATGGAGGAATAGAAAGCAGTCTTCAATGTTTACTTCAGATTAGCTCCACGTCAGAAATGAGCATGCTTGTCATATGTCTATCTCCATAGAGGCTGACTCATCATGTTAATCACATAGCTATCATATGCCTCAAACAGTCCTGATGCTCTTCTAGGTAATCACACATCCTGTCATGTTCACAGCTACAGTTGGGATACCTTTGTTATCATGTTACTCTCAGATTGGAAGAGGACATTCAGTGTTTTCCCAACAATACAAAGGGGCTTTATTGGCATGACCACATTTTATACATAGTATTGCCAAAGCATTCCACACAAGGCGTCATAACAGAACAAAACATAATATCAACAATACATGTGGCATAACACAAAACATGCTGTATATGCCAACAACGAGCAAATACATATTAGTATAAGTGTTATATCAACATTTCATACTTCAAAGAATATTTTATATATACACACCTTCTCATTCAAAGGTTTGTATTTGTTTTAATTATACATTGTAGGTTGATGCTGAACACATCACAACTATGAAAGAGTACATGTGGAATGATGTAGTAAACAAAAAAGTGTTAAACCTTTTTTATCCCATTTCATGTTAAATTCAAAATGTACAAACACACTGAATGCATGTGTTGCTTTTTACGCTTCAGGTGATCCTTGGCCACTTTATTTGTTGTATATATTGACATTAACTTCGACATGTGTTCTCTCTCGTCAGGCTCAAGCCAGAGTTCTTCCCATGGAGACCATCTGTCTGCAGTCCAACTCTTTCACCTGCGGCTCCGATGTCTCCTGGTCCAGAGAGATCTGCAGGGATCGTTCAATCAGCTCAGTGAGTGTTGGGAACACATCTCTGCTGCTGTCTCCTCTTCATTTGTGATTTGTAGAATTTAGCGTCTAAAAACTGGGAGAAATGGATTCAAGTGGATACCATTGAAATCAAAGTACTCTAATGGCGCGTTTCCACTGCAGTGGGTAGCTCGCTTTAAGCGTGCCGAGCCGTGCGGGGCACGTTTTTGGTTGCGTTTCCACTTGGCCTAGTTTTGGCCCGGGGCTACTTTTTCACCTTTTTTCTGGCCCGACTAAATCGTGGTTCTAGGGCCAGGAACAACCAGGCTGAGTCGGGCTGAGTATGCTAAGCTAGAGAGAGAATCGCTGGCAAGGGGGCTACAACTACAACAAGATGAACATATTTGACCGTGATTTAATTGTAATACACGTTTCAAAATGATGCCGAAGTAACAACATACTGATACCGGTTAGTGAAAACCATGAATTAATGCTTTGACAAGTCTGCAGACAGACGGCAGGCGAAAAACCCTTTAAAATGCGTGTTTTCTGAATGGAGATCGGCTAAGCTAACGTTATATATGCTCAGACCATCCACACTCACAACAACGGCCTACAGACATAAATAAACCAGCGACTGTATTCTCCATGACACAGGCAGTCTGTGGTTTGTACTTGTTTAACTTTTGTCTAGTTTCTGAACAGATATGAGGAGCTGTGAGCTCTGAGTGCTAAGAGCTAACGGCTGTGTTGTTTTTCTGGGGCTCTCATTGAAGATGACGTCACGGCTCCGCCTACACTGCGTTACTATAGTAACTGCCCCAGTTCCTAAACTGTAATGGAAGCGCAGCATTAAAGTGAGCCGGGCCTAATAAGGCCTAACCAAACCGAGCGAGGCCGAGCGAGGCCTGCAGTGGAAACGCGCCATTAGATGCACTTTAGACTTTAGAGAGTTTAAAAGGTCTTAATTCCATCATATTTTCCATTGCAGTGAAAACATCTTCAATTAACTGTCTTTATTGAAGTTTCTCTCTAAAAACACACTTTGCAAGATTACATATGAACACATGATAACGTAACAACATTTCGTCTAGGGCGGTTATTATAAATTGCAATATGGACGAGTAGAGTATCCAAATCGCAGTTAGCGCGATATTGGGTAAATCCAAAATACGTGTAAATATCTGAATGAAGTATTGTGGAGCTGCCGGGAAGTCCAAGCCTACAAATCTTATTCTACTGACTTCATTAAAAACTCCTTGTTTGTTACAGATCGCCTAGAAAATGCTCATTTTAACCATATTTTCCAATGATGATGTGAAGGTTTTCTAAATTGATAATTCCCCCCTTGTTGGTGTTTATGTTCAAACTGTATAGCATGTTTGAAGGTCAGTGTGTCTTTATAGGATCCCCACTAGTTGGCTGTTCTTCCTGGGGTCCTCACACACACAAAACATACATAAAACAAAACAAATAGCACATAATTTCATGCATTTCAGTGCTGGAAACTAAAATGGTCACCCAACAAAAAAATACAAATAATTGTACATAATAATAATAATAGATACATAGCCACAGACAGTTACATTTTACTTTATAATACTGAGATAATTATTAACAACCTTTTGAAATGTACTTGAGAAGGTTCCTGAATGATATGGACGGGTAAAGAGTTCCAGCTGATCGTGGCTCGGTAACTGACGGTTTTCTGTCTCATATTTGATTTAGATTTGGGTAATACAAACGTTCCTTCTATTGTATGTCGTGTTTGATAGTTATGTTGTGCATACTGCGCTATAAACCTTTGTGATAATATATCTGGTGAGTGAGTCACTGTAATATTTCTGACAGACCTCTGTCTGACACTTAACCATTTCAGTGTCATTTTTCTGCAGCACTAGACCAAATAACCAAACAATAACCAAGCTACGACAGAACCAAAACATCCAGAACTTGTCTACTGACATCCATTGGCAAATATTTGATAATTATTTTTACTAGTGACACACCCCTTCCCATTTTACATACAACACTATCAATTTGTTTAGACCAAGATCATTTAAGATCCAGGGTTATAGTAAGACCTGCTCTGTATTATCCACAAATATGTATTTGTGATTTTACAGAAGGCTTACAGAGAATATTGTATTGTCTATGATTGTATACAAGAAAAAAAGATAATTCCCTCTAATACCGGGAGTATTGCAATTATAATATCAACAATATCAAACACACATTATTCATCCTGAGACCATGATTGCTGCTGTATTTCTGTGTTTCTTCACTAACCGTCTCTCTCTCAGATCCCACTGAACATCTGGGCCATCTTTTACCAAAAAAAGGATTATATCTCATCCTGCAAATGTCAGAAATGTATTCAACATCCTCAATAAACTCCAAAATTGTCGTCATTTTTTAGCTATTGTCTGCATATTGCTAATTAACACAACTTATGCTAATTGTGCAAAGTGCCCAACATGTTTCGATGTGCCCGTACTTTACATTTCTAACATAAAACTTTGGGGTTCTCAACATTTCTGGGTTCACACTGCTGGCAGGTAGACTGATAAACAGAAACAGCAAGAAAAAGTTTAACTATTTAATAATAACACTCGATAAAGAGCTCCAACACACACATTATCCTGAGCCTGTGAATGGCTGCTGTATCTCTGTTTCTTCACTAACTGTCTCTCTCTCAGGTCCCACTGAACATCTGGGCCATCTTCTACCCTCGCCGCTGTGCGGAGCAGGCGGAGGAGCTCGTCTCCGTCTTCAACAAAGTGTCCGGTCCCATCGGGATGAGGCTGGCGCGACCGATCCACGTGGAGCTGAAGGATGACCGCGTCGAGACCTACGTCAAAAGCATCCACTCTCAGCTCACCAGCGAGGTACGAAAAAAACTTTGACAAATGCTATCTGTAGTGGCCAAAACTAAAAGGTCACCTATTGTGCAAAATCCACTTCTCCATGTCTCTTCTACATCAACATGTGTCCCCTCTTCTTCATGTCTCTTCTACATCAACATGTGTCCCCTCTTCTTCATGTCTCTTCTACATCAACATGTGTCCCCTCTTCTTCATGTCTCTTCTACATCAACATGTGTCCCCTCTTCTTCATGTCTCTTCTACATCAACATGTGTCCTCTCTTCTTCATGTCTCTTCTACATCAACATGTGTCCCCTCTCTTCATGTCTCTTCTACATCAACATGTGTCCCCTCTTCTTCAATGTCTCTTCTACATCAACATGTGTCCTCTCTTCTTCATGTCTCTTCTACATCAACATGTGTCCCCTCTTCTTCATGTCTCTTCTACATCAACATGTGTCCCCTCTTCTTCATGTCTCTTCTACATCAACATGGTGTCCCCATCTTCTTCATGTCTCTTCTACATCAACATGTGTCCCCTCTTCTTCATGTCTCTTCTTCATCAACATGTGTCCCCCTCTTCTTCATGTCTCTTCTACATCAACATGTGTCCCCTCTTCTTCATGTCTCTTCTTCATCAACATGTGTCCCCTCTTCTTCATGTCTCTTCTACATCACATGTGTCCCCTCTTCTTCATGTCTCTTCTACATCAACATGTGTCCCCTCTTCTTCATGTCTCCTCTACATCAACATGTGTCCCCTCTTCTTCATGTCTCCTCTACATCAACATGTGTCCCCTCTTCTTCATGTCTCTTCTACATCAACATGTGTCCCCTCTTCTTCATGTCTCTTCTACATCAACATGTGTCCCCTTTTCTTCATGTCTCTTCTACATCAACATGTGTCCTCTCTTCTTCATGTCTCTTCTACATCAACATGTGTCCCCTCTTCTTCATGTCTCTTCTACATCAACATGTGTCCCCTCTTCTTCATGTCTCTTCTACATCAACATGTGTCCCCTCTTCTTCATGTCTCTTCTTCATCAACATGTGTCCCCTCTTCTTCATGTCTCTTCTACATCAACATGTGTCCCCTCTTCTTCATGTCTCTTCTTCATCAACATGTGTCCCCTCTTCTTCATGTCTCTTCTACATCAACATGTGTCCCCTCTTCTTCATGTCTCTTCTACATCAACATGTGTCCCCTCTTCTTCATGTCTCCTCTACATCAACATGTGTCCCCTCTTCTTCAATGTTTCTTCTACATCAACATGTGTCCCCTCTTCTTCATGTCTCTTCTACATCAACATGTGTCCCCCTCTTCTCTCATGTCTCTTCTGCATCAACATGTGTCCCCTCTTCTTCATGTCTCTTCTACATCAACATGTGTCCTCTCTTCTTCATGTCTCTTCTACATCAACATGTGTCCCCTCTTCTTCATGTCTCTTCTACATCAACATGTGTCCCCTCTTCTTCATGTCTCTTCTACATCAACATGTGTCCCCTCTTCTCATGTCTCTTCTACATCCAACATGTGTCCCCTCTTCTTCATGTCTCTTCTACATCAACATGTGTCCTCCTCTTCTTCATGTCTCTTCTAATCAACATGTGTCCCCTCTTCTTCATGTCTCTTCTACATCAACATGTGTCCCCTCTTCTTCATGTCTCTTCTACATCAACATGTGTCCTCTCTTCTTCATGTCTCTTCTACATCAACATGTGTCCCCCTCTTCTTCATGTCTCTTCTACATCAACATGTGTCCCCTCTTCTTCATGTCTCTTCTACATCAACATGTGTCCCCTCTTCTTCATGTCTCTTCTACATCAACATGTGTCCCCTCTTCTTCATGTCTCTTCTTTCATCACATGTGTCCCCCTCTTCTTCATGTCTCTTCTACATCAACATGTGTCCCCTCTTCTTCATGTCTCTTCTACATCAACATGTGTCCCCTCTTCTTCATGTCTCTTCTACATCAACATGTGTCCCCTCTTCTTTCATGTCTCTTCTACATCAACATGTGTCCCCCTCTTCTTCATGTCCTCTTCTACATCAACATGTGTCCCTCTCTTCTTCATGTCTCTTCTACATCAACATGTGTCCCCTCTTCTTCATGTCTCTTCTACATCAACATGTGTCCCCTCTTCTTCATGTCTCTTCTACATCAACATGTTGTCCTCTCTTCTTCATGTCTCTTCTACATCAACATGGTCCCTCTTCTTCATGTCTCTTCTACATCAACATGTGTCCCCTCTTCTTCATGTCTCTTCTACATCAACATGTGTCCCCTCTTCTTCATGTCTCTTCTACATCAACATGTGTCCCCTCTTCTTCATGTCTCTTCTTACATCAACATGTGTCCCCTCTTCTTCATGTCTCTTCTACATCAACATGTGTCCCCTCTTCTTCATGTCTCTTCTTACATCAACATGTGTCCCCTCTTCTTCATGTCTCTTCTACATCAACATGTGTCCCCTCTTCTTCATGTCTCTTCTACATCAACATGTGTCCCCTCTTCTTCATGTCTCTTCTACATCAACATGTGTCCCCTCTTCTTCATGTCTCCTCTACATCAACATGTGTCCCCTCTTCTTCATGTCTCTTCTACATCAACATGTGTCCCTCTTCTTATGTCTCTTCTACATCAACATGTGTCCCCTCTTCTTCATGTCTCTTCTACATCAACATGTGTCCCCTCTTCTTCATGTCTCTTCTACATCAACATGTGTCCCCTCTTCTTCATGTCTCTTCTACATCAACATGTGTCCTCCCTCTTCTTCATGTCTCTTCTACATCAACATGTGTCCCCTCTTCTTCATGTCTCTTCTACATCAACATGTGTCCCCTCTTCTTCATGTCTCTTCTACATCAACATGTGTCCCCTCTTCTTCATGTCTCTTCTTCATCAACATGTGTCCCTCTTCTTCATGTCTCTTCTACATCAACATGTGTCCCCTCTTCTTCAATGTCCTCTTCTACATCAACATGTGTCCCCTCTTCTTCATGTCTCTTCTACATCAACATGTGTCCCCCTCTTCTTCATGTCTCTTCTACATCAACATGTGTCCCCTCTTCTTCATGTCTCTTCTACATCAACATGTGTCCCCTCTTCTTCATGTCTCTTCTACATCAACATGTGTCCCCTCTTCTTCATGTCTCTTCTACATCAACATGTGTCCCCTCTTCTTCATGTCTCTTCTACATCAACATGTGTCCCCTCTCTTCATGTCTCTTCTACATCAACATGTGTCCCCTCTTCTTCATGTCTTCTTCTACAATCAACATGTGTCCCCTCTTCTCAATGTCTCTTCTACATCAACATGTGTTCCCCTCTTCTTCATGTCTCCTCTATCTACATCAACATGTGTCCCCTCTTCTTCATGTCTCTTCTACATCAACATGTGTCCCCTCTTCTTCATGTCTCTCTACATCAACATGTGTCCCCTCTTCTTCATGTCTCTTCTACATCAACATGTGTCCCCTCTTCTTCATGTCTCTTCTACATCAACATGTGTCCCCTCTTCTTCATGTCTCTTCTTCATCAACATGTGTCCCCTCTTCTTCATGTCTCTTCTACCTCAACATGTGTCCCCTCTTCTTCATGTCTCTTCTACATCAACATGTGTCCCCTCTTCTTCATGTCCTCTTCTACATCAACATGTGTCCCCTCTTCTTCATGTCTCTTCTACATCAACATGTGTCCCCTCCTATCTTCTATGTCTCTTCTACATCAACCATGTGTCCCCTCTTCTTCATGTCTCTTCTACATCAAACATGTGTCCCCTCTTCTTCATTCTCTTACATCAACATGTGTCCCCTCTTCTCATGTCTTCTACATCAACATGTGTCCCCTCTTCTTCATGTCCTCTACATCAACATGTGTCCCCTCTTCTTCATGTCTCTTCTACATCAACATGTGTCCCCTCTTTCTTCATGTCTCTTCTACATCAACATGTGTCCCCTCTTCTTCATGTCTTTACATCAACATGTGTCCCCTCTTCTCCATGTCTCTTCTACATCAACATGTGTCCCCTCTTCTTCATATCTCTTCTACATCAACATGTGTCCCCTCTTCTTCATGTCTCTTCTACATCAACATGTGTCCCCTCTTCTTCATGTCTCTTCTTCTTCATGTCTCTTCTATATCAACATGTGTCCCCTCTTCTTCATGTCTCTTCTTCATCAACATGTGTCCCCTCTTCTTCATGTCTCTTCTTCATCAACATGTGTCCCCTCTTCTTCATGTCTCTCCTACATCAACATGTGTCCCCTCTTCTTCATGTCTTCTACATCAACATGGCCCCTCTTCTTCATGTCTCTTTACATCAACATGTGTCCCCTCTTCTTCATGTCTCTTCTACATCAACATGTGTCCCCTTTTCCATGTCTCTTCTACATCAACATGTGTCCCCTCTTCTCATGTCTCTTCTACATCAACATGTGTCCCTCTTCTCTTCTTCATGTCTCTTCTACATCAACATGTGTCCCCTCTTCTTCATATCTCTATCCGCTTCTACATCAACATGTTGTACCCTCTTTCTTCATGTCTCTTCTTCTACATCAACATGTGTCCCCTCTTCCTTCAATGTCCTCTTCTACATCAACATGTGTCCCCTCTTCTTCTCATGGTCTCTTCTACATCACATGTGTCCCCTCTTCTTCATGTCTCTTCTTACATCAACATGTGTCCCCTTCTTCATGTCTCTTCTTCATCAACATGTGTCCCCTCTTCTTCATGTCTCTTCTACAATCAACATGTGTCCCCTCTTCTTCATGTCTCTTCTACATCAACATGTGTCCCCTCTTCCTCTCATGTCCTCTTCTACCATCAACATGTGTCCCCTCTTCTTCATGTCTCTTCTACATCAACATGTGTCCCCTCTTCTTCATTCTCTTCTACATCAACATGTGTCCCCTCTTCTCTGTCTCTTCTACATCAACATGTGTCCCCTCTCTTCATGTCTCTTCTACATCAACATGTGTCCCCTCTTCTCATGTCTCTTCTACATCAACATGTGTCCCCCCTCTTCTTCATGTCTCTTCTACATCAACATGTGTCCCCGCTTCTTCATGTCTCTTCTACATCAACATGTGTCCCCTCTTCCTCATGTCTCTTCTACATCAACATGTGTCCCCTCTTCATGTCTCTTCTACATCACATGTGTCCCTCTTCTACATGTCTCTTCTAATCAACATGTGTCCCCTCTGCTTCATGTCTCTTCTACATCAACATGTGTCTCCTCTTCCTCATGTCTCTTCTACATCAACCATGTGTCCCCTCGTCTTCATGTACTCTTCTACATCAACATGTGTCCCCTCTTCTTCATGTCTCTTCTACATCAACATGTGTCCCCTCTTCTTCATGTCTCTTCTACATCAACATGTGTCCCCTCTCTTCATGTCTCTTCTACATCAACATGTGTCCCCTCTTCTTCATGTCTCTTCTACATCAACATGTGTCTCCTCTTCCTCATGTCTCTTCTACATCAACATGTGTCCCCTCTTCCTCATGTCTCTTCTACATCAACATGTGTCCCCTCTTCTTCATGTCTCTTCTACATCAACATGTGTCCCCTCTTCTTCATGTCTCTTCTACATCAACATGTGTCCCCTCTTCCTCATGTCTCTTCTACATCAACATGTGTCCCCTCTTCTTCATGTCTCTTCTACATCAACATGTGTCCCCTCTTCCTCATGTCTCTTCTACATCAACATGTGTCCCCTTTCTTCATGTCTCTTCTACATCAACATGTGTCCCCTCTTCTTCATGTCTCTTCAACATCAACATGTGTCCCCCTCTTCTTCATGTCTCTTCTACATCAACATGTGTCCCCTCTCTTTCATGTCTCTTCTACATCAACATGTGTCCCTCTTCTTCATGTCTCTTCTACATCAACATGTGTCCCCTCTTCCTCATGTCTCTTCTATACATCAACATGTGTCCCCTCTTCTTCATGTCTCTTCTACATCAACATGTGTCCCCCTCTTCTTCATGTCTCTTCCTACAATCAACATGTGTCCCCCTCTTCTTCATGTCTCTTCTACATCAACATGTGTCCCCTCTTCTTCATGTCTCTTCTACATCAACATGTGTCCCCTCTTCTTCATGTCTCTTCTACATCAACATGTGTCACCTCTTCTTCATGTCTTCTTCTACATCAACATGTGTCCCCTCTTCTTCATGTCTCTTCTACATCAACATGTGTCCCCTCTTCTTCATGTCTCTTCTACATCAACATGTGTCCCCTCTTCTTCATGTCTCTTCTACATCAACATGTGTCCCCTCTCTTCATGTCTCTTCTACATCAACATGTGTCCCCTCTTCTTCATGTCTCTTCTACATCAACATGTGTCCCCTCTTCTTCATGTCTCTTCTACATCAACATGTGTCCCCTCTTCTTCGTCTCTTCTTCATCAACATGTGTCCCCTTTTCATGTCTCTTCTACATCAACATGTGTCCCCTCTTCTTCATGTCTTTCTACATCAACATGTGTCCCCTCTTCTTCATGTCTCTTCTACATCAACATGTGTCCCCTCTTCTTCATGTCTCTTCTACATCAACATGTGTCCCCTCTTCTTCATGTCTCTCTACATCAACATGTGTCCCCTCTTCTTCATGTCTCTTCTACATCAACATGTGTCCCCTCTTCTTCATGTCTCTTTACATCAACATGTGTCCCCTCTTCTTCATGTCTCTTCTACATCAACATGTGTCCCCTCTTCATGTCTCTTTCTACATCAACATGTGTCCCCTCTTCTTCATGTCTCTTCTTCATCAACATGTGTCCCCTCTTCTTCATGTCTCTTCTACATCAACATGTGTCCCCTCTTCTTCATGTTCTTTACATCAACATGTGTCCCCTCTTCTTCATGTCTCTTCTTCATAAAATGTGTCCCCTCTTCTTCATGTCTCCTCTTCATCAACATGTGTCCCCTTTTCTTCCTGTCTCCTTCTACATCAACATGTGTCCCCTCTTCTTCATGTCTCTTCTTCATCAACATGTGTCCCCTCTTCTTCATGTCTCTTCTTCATCAACATGTGTCTCCTTTTCTTCATGTCTCTTCTTCATCAACATGTGTCCCCTCTGTGGAAAGAGATTCTCTCTCTTTTTGATCCATTTCTATAAAAAACCTGTCTGAAAATGAGCTGATCAGATTTTGGCCCACTTTATGATGTCATAGCGATCTGTGTTGTCTTGTGTAACCATTAGCCAATCAGCAACCAAGGTAACCCCCCCCCCCCCCCCCCTTATCACCTGAATCTCCTCTAGAGCCCCATTGAGTTCTTTGTAACCAGATCTCTCTCAGAGGGGCGTGGGGAGGGGCTCCTTATTTTCATCTAAAGTAACAGACAGAGAATCAGCACTTTGGAAACAGGGGCTGAAACAGAGGGGATTATGGGTAATGCTGCAATGACCTGTTTGGTGTTTTCATATTGCAATTGTTTGATTAATTGTGTCGCTAGAATAAGTATTTCAGACATTAAGGATGCTTGTTTCAAATGGGAGTATTGCCAGCGTTTTGAAATAGAAATACCTGTCTTACCTTACCTCTGCATAAATACATATAAATAAACTAATGTAAGAGAAATCCAGTTCATTGAATGGCTCTTGCTGTGATTGAATTTTCGTTTCTTGTGTCCAGCCCAACATGCAGCTGGTGGTGTGCATCATGGTGGGAAACAGAGACGATCTGTACAGCGCCATCAAGAAGCTCTGCTGTGTCAGAAGCCCCATCCCATCTCAGGTGTGTTTCCACGTTCCAAGTGGTTCTGCAAAGCTGGTCTAGATTAGAAAAAGATGAAACGTCTAAAATGTTGTTCTCTTTTACGTTTTTAAGTCTTTATTTTAATTCTTTTTTTATCGTAGGCCATCAATATCCGGACGATTTCCCAGCCGCAGAAGTTGAAGAGTGTGGCCCAAAAGATTCTCCTGCAGATGAACAGCAAGTTGGGAGGAGAGCTGTGGACGGTCAATGTCCCTCTGGTGAGTTTGTGTATTTATGCTTAAAATATCTATGAAGAGAATCTGGAAGAGAACACCTTATCTAGTTGGGCTCAATAGTTTGGGGAAAACATCGTAATTGTGATTGTCCTGACCAATAATGTGGTGAAAAGTAACAAAGTAAATGTACTCAAATACTAGGGATGTAACGATATACCAAATATCGCGGTAAAATAAATAAATAAAGCGATTTTATTTTTTTAAAACTTTATTTAACCAGATGGTCCCATTGAGATCATCGATCTCTTTTTCAAGAGAGACCTGTCCAACATGGCAGCAAGTAGGTTACAACATGAACATAAAACAACAGATAACACAAACAGGGCTACATGTACACACCTAGAGACATTGACAAGTACCAACAGTATATTTATATCCCTGTCAATAAGCCTCACCTTCTTGGCAACAACGGTATTGTTGTTGAAGTGGTGGAGAGACAATGCACAGTTTGACCCACTGCTGTCACCCATGGCCAAAGCATATCTCTGAGGTGGCGTTAGACTTTTTCGCTGTCCGTCATTTTGACAGACAGGATTGTAAAATATCCGTCATAATCCCTTATTACCCGTCGAGTCTGAACAGTTCACAAGAGAGCACGCTCGTGAACTGTCAACGGGGGGGGGGGGGCGGTGTTATGCCGTGTGTGCATGCACCTCGTGGGAGCACGCACAGCGTAAAGCAAAACCTCCCAGACATGTGTTGATCTGTACGGCAAAGTACGGTTTGCAAACTATATCATTTCCTTTTGGAGGGCATGCATACCACGGCATAACACCAGAGCCTCGCTGCGACAGACTGCTTTCAGATTTTTCCGTCATTGTTAAATAAAATATTCGGTTAACGCGACCACTGCTGTCCCGGCAACATCAGTACCAAGCGAGAGAGAGTTTTCCAGAGCAGGGGATTTTGTAAATGCCCAAACATCCCAGCTTATAAATACCTGGAAATGTGGATATTCTCATATTCCTAAAAACCTGTCTGATGATGCTGAGTGAGTGACTAGTGAGTTTGAGTTACTTGAAAAACTAAAGTGAAACTTGATTTATTTTATTGCAGGGTCTGATTATTAAATGTTTATTTGTGAGATGCAGTGGCACAAAGAAAATGCCTACTTTGTTTGGTAGTACTATAGGTACAAAAACACTGGTTTTCTTGTTCCAGTCTGTTACTGTCACTTTGTTTTTGACACTTTAAAATACTGCTAGCCTACTAAAATGCTGTACAAATCAGATTTATTATTTAATAAAGAAACATTTTCCGAGTTAAAAAAAATTCTTATTGAAAAAAAAATAGATTTTAAAAAAAAAAAAAATTATTATTCAATATCGCGATAAATACCGTACCGTGGACTTGTTATCGCGATATTATCGTACCGTGAGTTTTTGGTATCGTTACATCCCTATCAAATACTGTACTTAGATAAAGTCTCAATCTCCACTATGTTTTGGAAGCCAATGTTGTGCTGTTTACTCCACTAAATACAAAACAGCTTAAATTACTTACAGATTTAGATTATTAGCTAATACAAAATAACAATTTTTAAATAAACATTGGGATATCATGATAGGTTAAGATATCCATCAGCTGTATATAGTAGGGATGTAACGATACCAAAAACTCACGGTATGATAATATCGCGATTTAAAAAGTCCACGGTACGATATTTATCGCGATATTGAAAAATAAAGGGAAAGAAATGTTGAATTTTTTTTCTTTATTAAATAATAAATCTGATTTGAACAGCATTTTAGTAGATAGTAGTATTTTAAAGTGTCAACAATATAATAATCAGACCCTGCAATAGAATAAATCAAGCTTCACTTTAGTTTTTCAAGTAACTCAACTCTAACTCACTCACTCAGCATCATCAAGGTTATCTTCTAGGAATATGAGCATGTCCACATTTCCAGGTAGAAGCTGGGATGTTTGGGCGTTTGCAAAATCCCCTGCTGTGGAAACAACTCTCTTGCTTGGTACTGATGTTGCTGGGACAGAGAGATATGCTTTGGCCATGGGTGACAGCAGTAATCTGTGCATTGTCTCTCCACCACTTCAACAACAATACCGTTGTTGCCAAGAAGGTGAGGCTTATTGACAGAGATATAAATATACTGTTGGTACTTGTCAATGTCTCTAGGTGTGTACATGTAGCCCTGTAAATACGAGGTCCTTTTGTGTTATCTGTTGTTTTATGTTCATGTTGTAACCTACTTGCTGCCATGTTGGACAGGTCTCACTTGAAAAAGAGATCGATGATCTTAATGGTTAAATAAAGGTCTCACGCGGTATTGAGACATTTATTTACCGCGATATTCCATATATCGTTACATCCCTAGTATATTTAAATACATATTTTCCAGCTGTGATGAACACATTAATGCATCAGTAATTAGATATAGGAGTTTCACATAGGCCTTTATTCAATACCCATACTTTTACTAAAGTAAGATTATGAATGCAGGACTTCTACTTGTAACAGAGTGTTTTTAAAATGTTGTACATTAAACTTGTTTATCACACAGTGCTTTGTGTCAGAAAATTAACTACTAGGCAATCCATCAGAGCTTATGTTGCCATGTAAAAAAGCTAGGTGATGTTCAGGGTGCAGAATGCTTTTAGGGCTGCCATTGGTCATGTCGCGGAAACATTTAAACAGTTCAGGTCACATGGGAGCACATGCAGGTTTGATGACATCACATAACATTGCATTATTACCAGCTATTTTTAAGGGGTTGATTAATGTTACATTTGTACTAATACTCTATTTATATGTACATTTAATTGCTAAGCATGTAATGGCGCATTTCCACTACAGCGCGTAGCACGGTTTAAGCGTGTCGTGCCAAACCCGGCCCGTTTTTTGTTGCGTTTCCACTTGGCGTAGTTCTGGCTAACGGGTACTGTTTCACAGTTTTCTGGCTCTCCAAAATCGTGGTTCTTTCCGGGCCAATAACCAAGCTGAGTATGCTAAACTAGTGAGAGAATCGCTGGCAAGGGGACTACAACAAAATGAACATATTTGACCGTGATTAAATTGTAATACATGTTTCAAAATGATGCCGAAGTAACAACATACTGATACCGGTTAGTAAAAACCATGAATTAATGCTTTGACAAGTCTGCAGACAGACGGCAGGCGAAAACCCTTTTAAAATGCGTGTTTTCTGAATGGAGATCGGCTAAGCTAACGCAGTATATGCTCCGACCGTCCACACTCACAACAACGGCCTACAGACATAAATAAACCAGCGACTGTATTCGCCATGACACAGGCAGTCTGTGGTTTGTACTTGTTTAACTTTTGTCTAGTTTCTGAACAGATACTAGGAGCTCTGAGGGTTAACAGCTAACGGCTGATGTTGGTTTTCTGTGGTTCGCATTAAAGATGACGTCACGGCTCCGCCTACACTGCGTTACCATAGTTACTGCCCCCTCTACTAAACTGTAATGAAAACGCAGCATAAAGTGAGCCTGGCCGACAAAGGCCTAACTATACCGTACGAGGCCCTGCAGTGGAAACGCGCCATAAGATACATTGCTTAGATCAGTGGTTCCCAACCTGGGGGGCGCCAAAGATCGCAGGAGGGCGCCAAAGATCGCAGGGGGGGCGCCAAAGATCGCAGGGGGGGCGCCAGGCCTCAGATGATTTGAGGCCAAATATCATATTTACTTTTTTTTTTTTCTTTCTTTTTTTTAGAAAATGTATACATATAATTGTAACGCAATACATGATTGCCACTAAAAGCCTTGTCTCTACATTACAATAAAAAATTATTGATTCATTAATTTGAATAAAAATTCAAGTTAGTATTAAAGGCATAAAAAGACAGAAATGTATAATTCTTTCTTTGATAGAAATGTTTCTTCTGCCCGTAAAGTGTCCAAACCATGCCGGTTTCAGTTGGATTATTTGTCAGTTGCTCCGATCAGATCGGTCTCTTCCATTTTGTAGATTATTTACGACTTTTGAATCCACATAAACACATCGGCAAAATCCGGCTTACTTTGAACATGTGTTTTAAACAGTTTAATCCCTTTGTGAATTGTTTCCACTTGCGCCGTCCTTTAATTTCTTCATTCAGCGGGAATCCAAATGAATTAATCCCGAGTCCAATAACCATCAAAGTCACTCCAATAGTCCTCCTTAATTACGCTTTCATCTCCTTTAACAAAATACATCCAGTTTGTGACAGTAGTTGTAGCATTTGAGACTTTTAAACTTGAATTACTGCTGTTGCGGTAGGGGGGGGGGCGCAACTTCCAATAGGAGTCATTTGGGGGGGCCCTTGGGAAAAAAGGTTGGGAACCCCTGGCTTAGATGAGTTATAGCCTTAGACTGCACACATTTTCAATCAGAGGAACTTAGTGGGGCGTCCTAGGATCTGATACCCGTTAGATCATTACTAAAATGTCCCGTAAATGATCTCTAGAGAAGAGAAGGAACCTTGAGTAACATTGGAACTGCATTCCGGAGATGTTGTTTATCATTTTAAGCCCCGAGCCTGTTTCCCAGGTCTCAGGCTTGAAAATGACATTCCCAGAACAAATGACCATATCTTCTAAAAGGGTGAATTAATCATCTTTTTTCTCAAAGCAATGATAAACCTGTGAGTTGGATGTAGAAGAGTCAGAATCAATACAGAAAGATGGGATAGTAGACTAAAAGCTTTAAGAATCTAAACTATAACATATAAGTACCCTGTATCAAGATTGATGCAAAAACAAGTGACATTTGACCTTTTTAGAGGTTTAGAAGAAGAAAAAAAACACTTCTGGGGTCATTTGGGTGGATTTGCCATATAGCTGGCCCCCCTCACTTCTAGAATCTGTGGGATCTCAGCTTGCTAGCTGATATCTTGTATCCGGTACCGGGGGCATGGAGCTGGTTAAATAGTGAGCCGTAAATGGGGAAATAATTAACCTTTATTTCACTTTTATAGAAACACTTGATGGTGGTGGGTGTTGACGTCCACCATGACACCAGCAAATCTCATCAATCAGTCATGGGCTTTGTCGCAAGTCTGAACAGGTAAGGTGGTTTTTTTCTCAGTTGTTATTTATTAATATTGATTGTGTCGCACAATATCAAGAGTTTATTTTGCGTTTTTTGCCACACATAATAAGACTCACCGCTTTTAAAGTATGCAAAAAGTATTTTACAACATACATATAATATCTGCATATTAGTGATTTAAATGATATTATAAACATTTTGTGATTTTGCTGCTTATTTCCCAGCTCTTTGACCCGCTGGTACTCCAGAGTCACTTTCCAGTCTCCCACTGAAGAACTGATATATGGCTTCAGAGTTTGCTTACTGGCTGCACTACGGAAGTACTATGAAGTAAGTATTGCAAGCACACATTACATAAAACATTTGTTATTCAATCTCCCTTCTGAACCACACAGATAATCTTCTTCTTCTCTGTTTTCCTTCTCTAGTGTCGTAAAACAAATATCCACTGGGGGTCAGGAGTGGCATGTGTTAACTAAATAAAGCAAGGGCCTTTTAAAGAAACAATAACTTGAATCTCTGATGTGAATTCTCCATTAAAACAAAAAAGCACACAGACTTTATAGTCTTATGACCCAGATACAAGTCAGCGTTTTATCACTTCCTGTCCCCTTGTCTCAATGGCTTTCTGAATGTGTTTTAGTTGTTAGTCTGAATTAATAAGGTCTATGGTTAACACAAGCTAAAGAGATTTGTATTCTACGTCAGTAAATACCCCACTGTGTATAAATGAGACGCAACATTAGCCACCTTTAGCTTAGCGGTGGAGACATGGTGAAGTCATGTGACCGTGCTGTAGTTCCCTTTATAGCCCCACATTAGCCGCCTTTAGCTTAGCGGTGGAGACGTGAAGTCATGTGACCGTGCAGTAGTTCCTTTACAGCCCAACATTAGCCGCCTTTAGCTTAGCGGTGGAGACGTGAAGTCATGTGACCGTGCAGTAGTTCCTTTATAGCCCAACATTAGCCACCTTTAGCTTAGCGATGGTGACGTGAAGTCATGTGACCGTGCTGTAGTTCCTTTACAGCCCGACATTAGCCGCCTTTAGCTTAGCGATGGTGACGTGAAGTCATGTGACCGTGCTGTAGTTCCCTTTATAGCCCCACATTAGCCGCCTTTAGCTTAGCGGTGGTGACGTGAAGTCATGTGACCGTGCTGTAGTTCCCTTTATAGCCCAACATTAGCTGCCTTTAGCTTAGCGGTGGTGACGTGAAGTCATGTGACCGTGCAGTAGTTCCTTTATAGCCCAACATTAGCCGCCTTTAGCTTAGCGGTGGTGACGTGAAGTCATGTGACCGTGCAGTAGTTCCTTTATAGCCCAACATTAGCCTCCTTTAGCTTAGCAGTGGTGACGTGAAGTCATGTGACCGTGCAGTAGTTCCTTTATAGCCCAACATTAGCCTCCTTTAGCTTAGCAGTGGTGACGTGAAGTCATGTGACCGTGCTGTAGTTCCTTTATAGCCCAACATTAGCCGCCTTTAGCTTAGCGGTGGAGACGTGAAGTCATGTGACCGTGCAGTAGTTCCTTTATAGCCCAACATTAGCCACCTTTAGCTTAGCGGTGGAGACGTGAAGTCATGTGACCGTGCAGTAGTTCCTTTATAGCCCAACATTAGCCTCCTTTAGCTTAGCGGTGGTGAAGTCATGTGACCGTGCTGTAGTTCCTTTACAGCCCAACATTAGCCGCCTTTAGCTTAGCGATGGTGACGTAAAGTCATGTGACCGTGCTGTAGTTCCTTTATAGCCCAACATTAGCCGCCTTTAGCTTAGCGGTGGTGACGTGAAGTCATGTGACCCGTGCTGTAGTTCCCTTTATAGCCCCACATTAGCCGCCTTTAGCTTAGCGGTGGTGACGTGAAGTCATGTGACCGTGCTGTAGTTCCCTTTATAGCCCCACATTAGCCGCCTTTAGCTTAGCGGTGGAGACGTGAAGTCATGTGACCGTGCAGTAGTTCCTTTACAGCCCAACATTAGCCGCCTTTAGCTTAGCGGTGGAGACGTGAAGTCATGTGACCGTGCAGTAGTTCCTTTATAGCCCAACATTAGCCACCTTTAGCTTAGCGATGGTGACGTAAAGTCATGTGACCGTGCTGTAGTTCCTTTATAGCCCAACATTAGCCACCTTTAGCTTAGCGGTGGAGACGTGAAGTCATGTGACCGTGCTGTAGTTCCTTTACAGCCCGACATTAGCCGCCTTTAGCTTAGCGATGGTGACGTGAAGTCATGTGACCGTGCTGTAGTTCCCTTTATAGCCCCACATTAGCCGCCTTTAGCTTAGCGGTGGTGACGTGAAGTCATGTGACCGTGCTGTAGTTCCCTTTATAGCCCAACATTAGCTGCCTTTAGCTTAGCGGTGGTGACGTGAAGTCATGTGACCGTGCAGTAGTTCCTTTATAGCCCAACATTAGCCGCCTTTAGCTTAGCGGTGGTGATGTGAAGTCATGTGACCGTGCAGTAGTTCCTTTATAGCCCAACATTACCCTCCTTTAGCTTAGCAGTGGTGACGTGAAGTCATGTGACCGTGCAGTAGTTCCTTTATAGCCCAACATTAGCCTCCTTTAGCTTAGCAGTGGTGACGTGAAGTCATGTGACCGTGCAGTAGTTCCTTTATAGCCCAACATTAGCCGCCTTTAGCTTAGCGGTGGTGACGTGAAGTCATGTGACCGTGCAGTAGGTTCCTTTATAGCCCAACATTACCCTCCTTTAGCTTAGCAGTGGTGACGTGAAGTCATGTGACCGTGCAGTAGTTCCTTTATAGCCCAACATTAGCCTCCTTTAGCTTAGCAGTGGTGACGTGAAGTCATGTGACCGTGCAGTAGTTCCTTTATAGCCCAACATTAGCCGCCTTTAGCTTAGCGGTGGTGACGTGAAGTCATGTGACCGTGCAGTAGTTCCTTTATAGCCCAACATTACCCTCCTTTAGCTTAGCAGTGGTGACGTGAAGTCATGTGACCGTGCAGTAGTTCCTTTATAGCCCAACATTAGCCTCCTTTAGCTTAGCAGTGGTGACGTGAAGTCATGTGACCGTGCTGTAGTTCCTTTATAGCCCAACATTAGCCTCCTTTAGCTTAGCGGTGGTGATGTGAAGTCATGTGACCGTGCTGTAGTTCCTTTATAGCCCAACATTAGCCGCCTTTAGCTTAGCGGTGGTGATGTGAAGTCATGTGACCGTGCTGTAGTTCTTTTACAGCCCAACATTAGCCGCCTTTAGCTTAGCGATGGTGACGTAAAGTCATGTGACTGTGCTGTAGTTCCTTTACAGCCCAACATTAGCCGCCTTTTAGCTTAGCGATGGTGACGTAAATTCATGTGACTGTGCTGTAGTTCCTTTATAGCCCAACATTAGCTTTTTACTTCAGAAATCATAAAGTGTTGTTAATATGTGGAGATTATCCTGCTGAAAGAAACGTGTTAAGTATCATACACATTGAAAATATCTTTCCTGCAATAACTCAAAATCACATGGAGAAATCCCAATTGCTTTTTGTGGAGGGAACCAGGGAGATGCTGCCTTCAGGGTCAGATTACAAAAATACGTCTTCACTGCACCACTCTATTGCAATGGGATTTTTGTATTCAATCACCCACACCGCTTTGCTCTTTTCTGCTGTAACAAATGTAAATGTCCCCTCTATGGGACGAATAAAGGTATTCTGATTCTCTGATTCTGACACACACACACCATGTTGTTTTGTACAGGTGAACCACAACCTGCCGGAGAAGATCGTGGTGTATCGTGATGGCGTGTCGGACGGTCAGATGAAGATGGTGGAGCAGTACGAGATCCCACAGCTGATCAAATGCTTTGAGACTTTCCCCCACTACGAGCCCAAGCTGGTGTTCATTGTGGTGCAGAAGCGCATCAACACCACCCTCTACGCCTTTTCTGGAAACAACGTGGCCACACCTCCACCTGGAACCATCCTGGATCACACCCTCACTCAGAAAGACTGGTCAGTGTTTTATAGGATGTGTGCAGCAAAACTCCAGATGTGCGAACACAGTAATCTTTCAAATATCAATGTGTGGGTTTCTTGACACACCGTTGGTTTTTTTGTTTTCATCCAGCCGTAGGTTATAGGAATAGGGCAAACATCACAATATACCCGATGAAATGCCCTGTCATCGATATTAGACAGTGGACTTTTGGTGCTTTTAACAAAGTATTTACACAATTTATGGTTCAAATAATATCTAATATGTGGATTATAGACTAAATGGTTAAAGACAAACAAGTAAGTTCAGAAAATGGATTCTCTTTCATGTTATGCAGCTTTAAAAACCAGGAAGCGACACTTGTGACGTTACGATATGTAGTAGTTTATCACAGTATAGATGTAATATCATTATATATTGTCCAGCCCTGAATGTGTCCTTGTTACAAGCGCCACCTGCCTCAAAAAAGTGCATTAGTCATTTAAAAGTGCATTAGTCATTTAAAAGTGCATGGTATTGTGTCAGTAATCAACCTTGGTCAACCTGTGACCCGTTGAGCCGTTAAATTCTTTGGTTTATTATTGTTGTTTTTTACAATTAAAAAATGCACAAACAGAAAAACCTCGACAACATTTCATAGAACATAGGATTAATTATTTCTAAAAGCAAACAGCAGAAGCTTCGGTAAGAATTCTTAATGTGTGTGTGAACAAGCAGCGAGGACACACACGTATGGAGCTATTTCAGGGTCGTAAGTTTTGATCTTTCAAAAAAATATAATTTATTTGAAAGTTCAAGTTTTTATCCTGAACTTTGAAAAATACAATGATGTATTCAAAATAAAAATAAGTATTTGAAATAATTGTTCAGGTTGAATATTATTGTGATTCAGTTCAGCACTTTTTTAGAATAAAATATTTATTTTCAGATTTCACTTTTATACATATTTTGATTTTGAATCCGTATTTTTTTCCGTTGCAGATTTTTCATTTTCAGATTCAAAACAATTATTTTTTCAGTTTCTACCCTGAAATAGCTCCATACACACGGAGCATTTTCTCTAATTCATATCTGAATATAACGACCCAATAACTACTACACAGGTAGAAATCCCTCCGCACACTTCGCCTTCATCATGAAATGAAAGCTTAAATTGATCCTTTTCTGATGTCAGAATGATTATATATTATAGATCTATATATGTTGATGCAAAGCCGGACTCACTGCTGCTGTTTTGGGATAATTAAGCTCCGTGTTTTGTTATGAAGGGAAAAATTAGGCGACAAATACTTAAGTCGACTAATTACATATTACTTGTTAGACCAGGGGTGGCAAACTCAATTTCATCGTGGGCCACATTAGCACTATGGTTGCACTCAAAGGGCCGGTTGTAACTTTAAGACTATATAAAAATATACATATATAATATATATAAAATAATGTTTTATATGACATGATTGCCTCTGCATTGGATTCTTATCGGAAAGGGTAATAACTTCATAATTAACTACGTCTGAAAGCAGAAGTCTGGGGCAAATAATTGCAAGTCTCTTCAGTGTGCATGTCACAAAACTAGATGCATTGTGGGACATGTAGTTTATGGACAATGTGCTCCTGTAAAGCGGCATGTAACCGTATAATAAACGTATTTAATTATTTCATAGCTCTTGCGGGCCACATAAAATGAAGTCGATTTGGCCCCCGGACCTTGAGTTTGACACCCCTGTGTTAGACGCTTTTATCCAAAGCGACTCACATACTCAATACTGTGAACAATCCCCGCAGGAGCATTTTTGGGGTGAAGTGTCTTGCCCAAGGACACAACGACATGCTGACTGCAGTGGGGTTTGAACCTGTGCTCCCCTGATCCGAACACCAACGCACTAGGCCACTGCGCCACACGCCTCCTAATTGGTGGCAGCCCTCATGATGACACCATCGAAAAGTATTTGCTGTCAGCTTTTTCACGTCTCTAACAGTAACGTTTTTGTATTTGTTTTATTCAGGGTGGATTTCTATCTGATGGCACATAGCATCCGCCAAGGCTGTGGACTCCCCACTCACTACGTCACTCTGTACAACACGGCCAACCTCTCTCCGGACATTCTGCAGCGGTACTGATCACCTTTATATTGTTTTCTTTACACTTAGCAATATATTGATTACTGCTACAAATGTAAAACATGTTTTCAAACTATGTATATACTTCCTTTTTTTTGTGATCACATTTGTATTGATTAATTTACAACATGTACAACCAAAAGCACAAAATGTTTTCTTTTTTAAATAAAATTACTAGAAGTACATAAGAAAAAGAAAAAATTAGACAAAAGCAATTACTTACAAAATACAGAATAAATATGTAAGCTAAAAATAATAACAATAACTCAGACAAACAGAAATAAAATAAAACATACCACACCCTCCCTCCCAGACATATAAACACACACACACTTACATACTTCCTGATTTATTTATTTTTAACTTATTTTTACTTAAAGGGGACCTATCATGCAAAATGCACGTTTGTACGTCTTTCATACATGAATATGTGTCCCCGGTGTGTCAGGGAACTCACCAAGTGTCAGAAAACACAACCCTCTCTCTTTTCCTCCGTACCCAAATCTCTAAAAACGGGGCTGCAACAGATCTGATTATTATTTGAATTTTTCTGACGTCAGAAAAGGGGTGCTCCGCCTATATGGGCAACTCTCCACCTATCAGGGGAATGAGAGACCGCTCGAAAGCGCTGGAGACGCTGTAGTACATATGCCAGGCCTGTAAGTGGCGCTGTAGTCTGCCACAAACGCAGAATCAGCCCTTTCAAAAACAGGGCTGGAAAAGAGCGAAATGAGGCATGGCTAAAATGCATGATCTGTTTGTGAAGTTTTTAGGTATGGCCCTACAATATATGTTTCAAATATAGCATGATAGGTCCACTTTAAGTTGTTACTTATTCCCAGGTTGCTTTTTTGGGTGTTCAAAATATTCTGATCCAGTTCCATTGTTTTGAGTTAGATAGTAGTTTAACTTTTATTTTCTTGATGTTTTGTGGGAGAGAAACTCATTTTACAACATTTTAGCCTTTGCAGACCATTTACATGCACACAAAGCTATATAAGACACTAGTGTTGCACGGTGTACCGATACTTGAAAGGTACGATTCCTCCGTTTCATTAGTATCGGTACTTTAAGAATGACGGGGAAAAGTACTCCGGTGTGTATTCAGCGCTCTGCTTCCACTCCCTGCACTGCAGCCGTGCCTGCAGTCCCTCCCCTCTCAAGCACGCTCTAAGTCCCTCCCCTCTCTCGTGCACGCGCTAGCTGCCAGAGCATGTGAGAAAACAGGCAGCAAGTGGCTGCAAGTGGGAGTGCAGCTGCCGCTGCGCCTCGGCTTGTTGACAAAAAAGACGCCAGAAGCTAAATGTGGAAGTATTTGAGCTATATCTCTGACAGTGAGGGCAAGCCTACGGACACCACGAGGCCTGTCTGTGAGACATGTTTTAGATCCCTGCAAACCAAGGGAGCCAACACATCAGACTTGGCTAAGCACCTCGCCGACCGGCATCCAGAGCTGTTTAAAGAATTTAAAGACAGACAGGTTAGCGAATGTGATAGACAGGGTTCGTACGGTCATTGAAAACCAGGAAAAGTCATGGAAATTCAAAATGCAAATTCCAGGCCCTGGAAAAGTTATGGAAAACAATATTTTTCCCAAAGCTTTGGAAAAGTCATGGAAATGTAACTAAAGTTGCGTCAAATATAATTTACATTTGATCTAATCGCCGAAATAATCTGCGGTCGCGAGTTATGTGCCATCATGACGCGCATGGTGTTATTTTTTAATATATGAAGCGCGAGCTGTGTGCTCGAGTCTTCCTGCCTGTCGGCTGAACTCTGCTGCTCCGGGTCAGCTACATTATCTACGGTGTGTTCGTTAACTGTGCGGAGTCACTGCGGCACGGACTGAGCCGCTGGTGAACAGCTGTTAGAACGGGCCGTTCAGAGCAGAGCGGCAGAGCGTGATGTGCACTGAAACCTTTTTCTGTCGCAATATCATTTAAGGAATCGTTGAGCTAGCTAGCTAGCATACATTGTCACTATCTGCTAACGTTAGCTTTAGCCTTCGTTTTCTAATAGTTTTTTTCATATAAACGGAGGTGGTATAAGTAGATATTGTGCTAGAGTAAAAGTAGAAGTACTCAGATCTTGTACTTTAGTAGAAGTACTCAGATGTTGTTCTTAAAAGTAGAAGTACTCAGATCTTGTACTTGAGTAAAAGTAGAAGTACTCAGGTCTTGTACTTGAGTAAAAGTAGAAGTACTCAGATCTTGTACTTGAGTAAAAGTAGAAGTACTCAGGTCTTGTACTTGAGTAAAAGTAGAAGTACTCAGGTCTTGTACTTGAGTAAAAGTAGAAGTACTCAGATCTTGTACTTGAGTAAAAGTAGAAGTACTCAGATCTTGTACTTGAGTAAAAGTAGAAGTACTCAGATCTTGTACTTGAGTTAAAGTAGAAGTACTCAGATCTTGTACTCGAGTAGAAGTACTCAGATCTTGTACTTTAGTAGAAGTACTCAGATCTTGTACTTTAGTAGAAGTACTCAGATCTTGTACTTGAGTAAAAGTAGAAGTACTCAGATCTTGTACTTGAGTAAAAGTAGAAGTACTCAGGTCTTGTACTTGAGTAAAAGTAGAAGTACTCAGATCTTGTACTTGAGTAAAGTAGAAGTACTCAGATCTTGTACTTGAGTTAAAGTAGAAGTACTCAGATCTTGTACTCGAGTAGAAGTACTCAGATCTTGTACTTTAGTAGAAGTACTCAGATCTTGTACTTTAGTAGAAGTACTCAGATCTTGTACTTGAGTAAAAGTAGAAGTACTCAGATCTTGTACTTGAGTAAAAGTAGAAGTACTCAGATCTTGTACTTGAGTAAAAGTAGAAGTACTCAGATCTTGTACTTGAGTAAAAGTAGAAGTACTCAGATCGTGTACTTAGTAAAAGTAGAAGTACCAGAGTGTAGGAATACTCTGTTACAGTAAAAGTCCTGCATTCAAAATGTTCCTCAAGTAAAAGTAGAAAAGTATTATCATCAAAATTTAGTTAAAGTAGCGACAGTAAAAGTAGTCATTGTGCAGATTGGTCCATTTCAGAATAATATATATGATATGTTTTATAATGATTGATCATGAAAGTGTTCTCAAAGCTGGTAAAGGTGCAGCTAGTTTGAATGACTTTGTATACTGCAGGGTAGCTGGTGGATTTACTCCAGGTGGAACTAAAGTCTGATGTAACACTTGATTATATTTCACATCATTCATCCACATCTGTGAAGTAACTAAAGGTATTAAATACATGTAGTGGAGGAAAAGTACACCATGTACCTCTGAACTGTAGAGGAGTAGAAGTACACCATGTACCTCTGAACTGTAGTGGAGTCGAAGTACACCATGTACCTCTGAACTGTAGTGGAGTCGAAGTACACCATGTACCTCTGAACTGTAGAGGAGTAGAAGTACACCATGTACCTCTGAACTGTAGTGGAATCGAAGTACACCATGTACCTCTGAACTGTAGAGGAGTAGAAGTACACCATGTACCTCTGAACTGTAGAGGAGTAGAAGTACACCATGTACCTCTGAACTGTAGAGGAGTAGAAGTACACCATGTACCTCTGAACTGTAGTGGAGGAGAAGTACACCATGTACCTCTGAACTGTAGAGGAGTAGAAGTACACCATGTACCTCTGAACTGTAGTGGAGTCGAAGTACACCATGTACCTCTGAACTGTAGAGGAGTAGAAGTACACCATGTACCTCTGAACTGTAGTGGAATCGAAGTACACCATGTACCTCTGAACTGTAGAGGAGTAGAAGTACACCATGTACCTCTGAACTGTAGTGGAGTCGAAGTACACCATGTACCTCTGAACTGTAGAGGAGTAGAAGTACACCATGTACCTCTGAACTGTAGAGGAGTAGAAGTACACCATGTACCTCTGAACTGTAGTGGAGTCGAAGTACACCATGTACCTCTGAACTGTAGAGGAGTAGAAGTACACCATGTACCTCTGAACTGTAGAGGAGTAGAAGTACACCATGTACCTCTGAACTGTAGTGGAGTCGAAGTACACCATGTACCTCTGAACTGTAGAGGAGTAGAAGTACACCATGTACCTCTGAACTGTAGAGGAGTAGAAGTACACCATGTACCTCTGAACTGTAGTGGAGTCGAAGTACACCATGTACCTCTGAACTGTTGTGGAGTAGAAGTACACCATGTACCTCTGAACTGTAGAGGAGTCGAAGTACACCATGTACCTCTGAACTGTAGAGGAGTAGAAGTACACCATGTACCTCTGAACTGTAGAGGAGTAGAAGTACACCATGTACCTCTGAACTGTAGAGGAGTCGAAGTACACCATGTACCTCTGAACTGTAGAGGAGTAGAAGTACACCATGTACCTCTGAACTGTAGAGGAGTAGAAGTACACCATGTACCTCTGAACTGTAGAGGAGTAGAAGTACACCATGTACCTCTGAACTGTAGAGGAGTAGAAGTACAAAGTAGCAAAACATTGAAATACTTAAATAAAGTACAAGTATCTCAAAATTGTACCCACGTATAGCACTTGTTGAGTTTATGAACTTAGTTACTTTACACCAGTGGCTATACAGATAGAAAGACTAAGCTGCTCAACAGTGCTGCCAAAATGATAAACTGACTGCTACACAATTAAAATAAATGCTTTTATATATTTCTACTAGATGTGACTCTTTGGCGTTTCTGTTATTATTAACTGCTGCTTTAGCTGTTCTGACTGCTAACATCCTGTTATTACTCATTTTAAAGCCGATATTCCGTGGGGTCGGGGGCTCGGATCCTTGTCACCTTTTTCATACCTGATGACTTTGCATCCCTGACTGCAGTTGCTTCAGCGTGTAGAAGCTAGTAAGCCTACTATTGGATTTGTTTTCGATAGGCACAACAGGTTTCATATGCAGACCTTATTTTCCTGTTCCATGTTCAAATAAACCATTTTCAGTGGTCATTTTTTTTTGGTCATGGAAAATGAGGTGAAGGTCATTGAGAAGTCATTGAGAAGTCATGGAAAATCATTGGTGAAAAAGTGTATGAACCCTGGATAGATAACATAATTACATCATGCTCAAGCCATGCCCTCAAATCTAAGTCAAACAAGTGTAATTTATTTTGTGACAAATGAGGCAATTAATGGCAATGATAACTAATATGGCTATCTTTTTAGCTAACTTACCAATGTGGCTAACATCTGCAATATATATTTTGTTAATAATTATTTATATTACTGTACTATTACATGTTAATGAAATATAAAGTTAACTATCAAAGAAATCACAAACTCAAGTATAAAGAAGAGACCATGTTGTAAGAAAACACTTAACAGATAAACTACAATTTTATTGATCATGAAAATAATAAAAGAATCGGAATCGTAATTCTTGACTTGGTATCGAAACCAAAATGTTGGTATCGTGACAACACTACAGGAAAGATAAATATTAGAGCCTCTTTAACATGTTGCTGTGTTCCCATTCATTCCAGGATGACCTTCAAGATGTGCCATTTGTACTGGAACTGGCCGGGCACCATCCGGGTTCCCGCTCCCTGCAAGTACGCCCACAAACTGGCCTTCCTGTCGGGTCAGTTCCTGCACTCTGAGCCGGGCATCCAGCTCTCCGACAAGCTCTTCTTCCTCTGAGCTGCTCCGGTATCTTCCCCCGGCAAACTGCTCACGGCAAAACCAGAAAATCTTAACCGGATGACAACAGACTCATTGGATGCTATGAAGGATTCATTACAAGTATTTTCCTATTCAGATCAAGCCTTAAAGGGTAACACCAATATTCTACTACTACTGTAATAATGATGTGTTGCATATAATCGTTCTAAGTTCAAAACCAGTGGAAAGTTTGGAGCAAGTTTTCTTTAGTTTTTAAAGTATATTTTAGCCTTTGTTCCTGTGGCATAAGGATTGGTCTCTGTTCTGTTAATGTTCAGACCCTTCCACTGTGACAGATTTTAATTTGTATAAACAGGTTAAAGATTTATAACATTTGATTTGAAATAAAGAGATTTGGAAGTTAATACAGTTTCAGCTTTATTGTCCATAACACAAAAATCTGCATTGTATAAAGTTGAACTAAAACACAGAACCTGCGCCTCTTTTTCTCTTCACACCTTTAAACTTGATCACATTTGCCCAATTTGGTATATGTTGTTGAGGTCTCCATATTAAGTTGAATAATTAAATTAATATAATCAAATATATTCTTGTATAACCCACAATGAAAATGCATTATATTTCATGTTCTATAATCACAGTATATACACAAACGTAAGTGGTTTGGTCAATTGAGTTGAAGGCCTATTATCGTGATACTATGGGTGTCAGTGTCTAGCAGAGGAGAGACAGTTGTTTTCACTCACAGCTGGCTGTGCACAGCCTGACTCAATGGAAAAGTACTGGAGCCCCAAAATGTGTTTAGGCCATACCATAGGAGAATATGTCCCGTCCTGCACACCAGAGGCCCATGACCTTCTCCCACATATATGGGTATGAAGGAGGTGTCTTTGGTTTTTTTCTATCCCTGTGTGGATTATAAAAAGCACTGGTTGAGAGGGAGAAAAGCTTCAGAGCGGGGTTTCTCCTTGGTGAGTTCTCTCAAATTAGTTTTGTTTTGACTGTATTTTACTAATACAACTGAAGTGGGCAGTTGAAGTTAGAATTTAATGTAAGAAATGTAAAACTGTGAATTGAGGTTTTATATTATAAAAATACCACAGCAATATATATTTTGTAGGATTGTCATATTGTAACGAGAGAAGGTAAAAACCCTGTATAAGTGTGGACCATTTTCTTCAAATAAAATCTATCGTTTCAAATAGATGACCAAATTAGTTGCCAACTAATTCAGTTGGTGACGTCATCACGTGTGTTTTGCGCGCCGTTATGCGCCAACGTTATCGGTCTTTTTATCGGTACTGGAGACATTTAAAAAATATGTCATATGTATTATTGCTACATAAACATTATATCACAGTCTTAGTTTCGCCAACTCGTTTCTAATATGCAATAAGACAAACAAAAATGTGTCTATGATGTATTTTCGATCTTTCCAATCCAAACGAGAGATCTCTCCCCGGTCTGTGCGAGGGGGCGGGGCAGTTTACACACACACACGCACGCGGATGCTACATGCATGCAACACTCACACACCGAGGAGATGGCGGAGAAAACGCGCTCCAAGGTGTGGTTAAACATTAACCGTCTCGATGTGGACAATGCCTGAGCCAAAAGTGCAATAAGAGTTTAGCATGTAAGGGCGGTAACTAGTGTTAATTTCGTCAGCAATTTTTTTTATTTAGTTTTAGTCTTAGTCCTGTGTTACATTTCCTTTTTAGTTTTAGTCATATTTAGTCACCTTCATCCTGTTTTTATTTAGTCCAGTTTTAGTCGACTAAAAGTCTAAGCATTTTAGTCAAAGAAAACTAATTATTTTAGAGTATTTTTTAGTCATCAGATTATATACTCTCTGCAAAGCTGCATTCTTAATCATTCAGCCTGTATTTTTCATCAAATAAGAACAAGATATAATCTTATTGTGAAATAAGTTTGACTAAAATGACATTATTGGTTTGACTGATATGTTCTGGTCATGGGCGGCGCCAGGATTTGTTAGCTGCAGTAGCTTAGCAGTTGCTATATGACAGCACGGCGTTGCTAGTTAATTTTCAAAATAAATAAACAAACAATACCAGTGGGCCAAGCACGAACCTGTTCGTTCACCGCTATTCAAGATCACAGATCACGAGCCTTCAATGTCGAAAACGTTCTCTTTATTTTCTGGTATTGACGGCCACAGCCACGCCTTACAGAAACAATCAATAGTATAACACGCATTATGACTTTCCCCACACTCGAACACAACTCCTACCGTCTCGTACTCCCTCCACACTCACACCGAAAACGCACACACCTGGAAGGGGCGGTCTCTACTCCCACCAACAACATTGCCTAAATAACTTTACAAATGTACACGTTTTTAGTCCCAGTGCGCCACTGAACGTAGCTATTATGTAAGGTGCTGGTATATATATACTAACTGTGCTTTCCCCCCCAAAAAGTTGTAAATCAAACAAGTGAAGTACATGTTTTGTTATGTTATAAAGCCGTGGAGGGCGGTCGTTTATAAACCAACGAGTAACCGCCCTTACGGGACGCTCTAATAAGTAAAGCGAACGCACCCGCAAGGACACCTGGCTTCCTATTGGTTGAGGGATTTTGACAGGGTTGTTGCACAAAAGATCCGAGCGCGCACAGAAGAAATCTGAGAGCAGACATTTCACCAGCGCACAGAAACAGCTTGAATGCGAGGAGAAGGCTTTAAGCTGGAACACAGGAAATCTGTAAGCAGCAATATATCTGAGTGCAAAACAATAAGCCGTTGCTAGGCCAATTGTTGGAGTTGCTACAGCAACTCCAAGATACCCCCTGGCGCCGCCCCTGGTTCTGGTCAGGTTTGTGGTGTGTTTACCAGCTGTGTTTTGGCCACATTGCTTCCCTTCTGATAAAACAATGCATTCGCTTTTTTTCTCCACCTCATTGTAGCGAAAATGGCCCCAAATATCACATCGTTTCTTTCTCCCAAGCAGTGGTGGCGTTAGACTTTTTCGTTGTCAGTCATTTTGACGGACAGGATCGTAACATTTCCGTCATAATCCATTTATTACCCGTCGAGTCTGTACACAGCTCGTCACTCACTCACTCGCGCTAACGGGGGGGGGGGGGGGGGGGGGGGGGTATTCGGTTAACGCGACCGCTGCTCCCATGCCCTGTTGTTGCCATTTTATTTTCTGTTAAATAAGGTTAGTTAGACCATGAGTTAGACCCGTTAGTCTTCCTGACAGTTTACACTGTGCCGCTGGCCCGGGTTGCGGTCGTTTAGTCCAAAAATCAGCTCCTAAGGTCTATCCCTATCTCCTATCCCTTGACCTCTGTGTGAAACGTCACGGGGTTAAGGGATAGTGGATAGGAGAATTCAAAAGGATTTAGGAGAAGAGGCTGCGGTACTTTAGAGCAGTGGTTGTCAAATGAATAAAACAACATAAGTAGGCTAATGCATTTACACAAACTACTAATAGTAGATGAACTACTTTATTTAAAGTTTACAGTAATTCTGGATAATAAAATGGGAAAAATAAACGGGGTGCTCTCTTTTCCTCTCCCTGACAGCCCGTTAGTCTCGAGTCGTGCAGCTCGCTGAACCTATAATGAGTGACCCGACAGTAAAGAATACACATATTTATAACTAGTTTAGCTAGTTCCAGAGTAGATAAACTAGCTAAGTGTGTTAGGTCTAACTCTTAGTGTATTTAATTTAGCTCCACTCAACGGTCCGTCACAGCGGCGGAGCTGTGATCATGCAGAGCTGCGTGTTGTCCGTCAGCAGCAGCTGATCTGATCTCTCTCTCGTGTCCGATTATACTTCACTCGCGTTTATGTCCAAATATATCAGATCTAGCTAGTTCTAGTTCATTATATGACTGCCTGCTTATCAAAGGACACCTAAACAACAAGCGTTGCTTGGCAACGGCGTGTGGCCGCAAGTATAGCGCAGCATTATGCATTATGTATATGAGGGGTCAAAATCCCATGCTCATAAAATGCTCATATTTGTTTCTCTTCATTCCCCACGCGCCAAAATAAATAAATATACCAATTTTAGGAAAAGTAACGAAGTTTGAGCAGTGTAGGTTTTATATGAACATGTACACATATTTCAAAACGCGAAGTGCAATAACTGCAGTGGCCTTCCTGTCACTGAGAATAACAAAGATCCTCAGTGAAGCTCGAGCCCATGTTTCACTTCATTGTAAGAACAACTTATTAAAAAGATCAGTTCAATGCAACTCATGTCGTCTTAGTGTTATTGCATGATGTTAAAATTGGTTTGCCATGAATTTAGTGATGGATTTAAGTTTTTCTCAGTTACAATGTTGTTGTTTTAATAAATGATGGTGCAGCGCTGTACTGTACCTCTTTATAGGCCTTTTTTCCTTAACACATTGTTTTTGCGCTGATCAGGGGGTACTTGGCTGAATCTTTTTTTCAAAGGGGGTACATGAGTGAAACAAGTTTGAGAACCACTGCTTTAGAGAATCCGACTGCACTTTCACTATCCGACGTGTTTATGATGCACCAGCGGACGTCATAAATGTGCGTCTGCTGCTGTGGGGAAACTATGGAAACTACAGTTTTCTATAGCGGACTACAACATGGATGTTTAATAAGAACGAGGGACTCCTGTAAACTCATCTAGAGACTCTGTGCTCTGATGCTGTTGCTTTGCTTTATGAACGGGGACAACAGAGAAACATATTCTTCATGACCAAAGTTGGAATTGAAATAAAAAAGGAAAGTGAAACTTATGCTCATCACCCTCTCCCTCCGGTCCACATTAATACAAATGATCCCAATACGTATGATTGATGAAAAGATCTTAAAATCAATGCAAATGTATTTATTACGTTGGTCCTTAACATCTATCACTGTGTATATCACCATTCAAACATCTTTTAAAAGTTGAACAAACCCCACAGCTCAGTGAAGACTGAGATGTTGACTTTATTTGATCATTTCAGTAAAAACTCATATTTCTCTTTTTGATTATAATACTGATGAACGTTCAGAACAAAGCACAAATAGTCAACATCTCAGTCTTCACTGAGCTGTGGGGTTTGTTCAACTTTTAAAAGATGTTTGAATGGTGATATACACAGTGATAGATGTTAAGGACTAACGTTTATAATAAATACATTTGTATTGATTTTAAGATATTTTCATAAAATCATACGTATTGGGATCATTGTATTAATGTGGACCGGAGGGAGAGGGGGACGAGCAGAAGTTTCACTTTCCTTTTTTATTTCAATTCCAACTTTGGTCCTGAAGAATATGTTTCTCTGTTGTCCACGTTCATAAAGCATAAAGCAACAGAGCACAGAGTCTCTAGATGAGTTTACAGGAGTCCCTCGTTCTTATTATACATCCATGTTGTAGTCCGCTCCGCTGTATAGAAAACGGTAG